ACAACTTCTTTGAATCAACACATAACAAATTATTATGAGTGCCAACAGATGACAACATGTTGGAAAAAAATGTTTGATAAAAGTAAAGGTTTCATGACAGAACTTTGACCTACATTCCTTATTCATGAATTAAAAAAATAAGAGTAATTTTTAGATTAGAAGTTCCATCATTTGCTGATGACCAAATCATTATGTGAAACTAAATTCGTACAGTGTGCATGTGCTTTGTGAGGAGAGATACATGGGACGTGTGTTTGTGAGTCAGTGTGGCTTAGGTGAGTCAAGTGCGTATGACCAAGTGTTGATGCTCAAGTACATGATATGCAAGATACGTGGAAACTTTGACGATCAAGTGTCACAAACTCACAACTGTTAAAAAAAAAAAATGCAGTAAGAATGTATTAGCTGGACATCCTGACTACTACTGAAAATTTTAAGATAACCCTGGTTCGAAAAAAAGACAACCCTGGTTCAAAAATAAAATAAAAAGAAATAACCCTGATTCGAACAAAGATAACCCTGGTTCGAAAAAAAGATAACCCTGGTTACAAATACAATTTCTACTGAGATGCTTCCCCTTGAGCAATATTGAGTTTCCTAAAAAATGACCTTGCTAGAACCTTTTCTATTTCTTCAGATTCAGTGCAATGAATTTGTTGAGAAAATAATTGAATTCAAATGTATTGTCTTAGAGCCACTCTATATGTGGATATCAGACATTCAGAGGGAGGATTTCTACAAGACCATTCAACAGATCCAGTCAATGAGCTGAGATCAGCTTTCTCATGTGGAAACCAAATTTTTTTGGGTAAAGTTAAAGTTAAACGAAACATGGAATTCTTATAAACCAACAGAATTATTGAAATGCTTAACAAATAAATATGTTTCAATGAACCAAAGTATCTGTATCAATATACACTTCTTCCTGCATAACTGCCATGGTTGAAAAGGCATAAAATAAGCTGATAAACTGAATCTCTGAGTCAGCTCTGTCATCACTGACTGTACTGCTTCTAAAATGACATTCAAGATAACCATTATATAACTGTTTTATAACACTTGATCCCCAAACTTTCCTATCCATGCATAGTGAGCCATTCAGCATTGATCCTGCAAAAATATCAGGACAAAATATTGTCCGTGTATGCAACGTGAGTGCTGTTATAGACAACATTGACTACATCTAGTCTACACTAATATACACAACATGGTACAATATTGATAACAAAATAACATCGCCAACAGTTATAAAGATTTATTCACCGAGGGAAACCTATAGAAATAAAGAGGAGATATTTGACTTCACAAGTGACAGTTTAACACATAGATTCACCTCTGTATGGAGCATAATGCAGCTGAAAGGGTCAGGGCCGAAATCATTAGAGATTTGGTTTCAGTCGATAAACGTTTTTAGAATTATGCAAAGCGCATTATTTTTTTTTTGTTTTTTCAAATTACATTCTTTGACAGAAATATTTCCATGGCTGCTTGGAATCGACAAATGTGCCCAGCAGTATAAATGCAACTGTAGGTATCAAGTCAGGGGAGATAACTACAGTCACCGAAAACGACACATTCATAGATTTCAAACAGAAAAAGAAACATATAAACGTTTAGGTAGATTCCAAAAAGAAACACACCAAATATCAAAATTAATTTTTGACAATTTGAAATATTTCCTGAAAAATTTCCCTTTTTTAGCATATTGTTAATACCTCAAAAGCTGGTAAAGCCAAATATTCGCATGCGGCCATATGGCATCTTTAGCGTAGAAAGAAGCAATAATGTTACGCAAATGCAGAAACTGAACACAACTCACAATCTCTGATGATAAATGCCCATCAGGTACATATGCTCCAGACACAGACAAGGAAATATGTTAATATTGATGTCAACAAAGAGATCAGTGAAATAAAGAAAGCTAACAATGTTAACAATGTTAACAGTTATCATACATAAATGTACAGGTATTAGTCATAGAATGTACATACATTAGTCATTAAAAATTAAATCAGAAAGCTTTCAGCAATAAATAATAAATTAGTGGTTAATATGTTAAGAGAAATGAGAACGAGTCAAATTTAATCAAATTTCAGAACTTCACACCGTAAGTTGTTAGGAGAATATAATGTGTGGTTGGATAACAATCAAATTGTTAAAATCGCCCCTCAATAGAACTCAAGTCTATGGAATCCCACACAGAGCTTAGGGGGTTGTCAGCGTATACACGATAGATATACTCGTATCTTGTTAGATTCTGAATCATGTAGACATTAATACATGGTTGAAGGTTTGCCTGGCGGAGCCAACTATTCCCAGCATATTCTGGAGAAACAGAGAAACAGCAGCGGTGAGAATGTGAGTTGTCACAGAGAGTTAACCAAGACAGCTGTTGATTCTATTAACACTCCCAAACTCATCCTCAGTAATGCAAGGTATTTTATCTCCATTCATTTACCATAAATACCCTGGACCTATTTAACATCATAGTCTCAGTGGGAAGAGACAACATTGTCTTCCATCTTTTCATTGGCTTAGCAACTTCTCTCACTCAAATAGTTTTTTAAACTGGACTGCTATTTCATGTGTCATCATTTGAATCTTATAGAAAGCTATGGTAACAAATGGGTCGAGGATATTTATGGGGATAGGATGAAGATATAATACACAGGCTAATATCGTAAGTCCAACACTGAGAGAACAGATTACTATGGCTGTACCATTATCATATTTCAAGAACACTTGATATGATTAAGATGACCTTTCAAATTTTAAAAATTCAATGTTGGAATCACAGCAAGTGTCAAAGGGAATAAGAGATATTTGGAAAATGACACATACATGTATTCACCTGAAATGTTTCAAAAATATAATCTGTAAAATTCAATTTCAATTTTCCTTGACCAATTCTTGAATCATTTTGAGATGGATATCATATTACTTATTATTCCAAATGATAATCTAGAAATATGAAGTCTAGAATTTTATTTTTTTTATTCTTTCAGGTTATCTTTTCCAGTGCACCCTTACTTGTGGGGTTACATGAAATAAAGCATTGATCATCTTTTTCATTTATTGTGGTGCATTTTTCTCTCAAATGTTTGGACCTTTAAGGACATATCTCACAGGATGAACCAGAGAAATATTGAATCAATCTCAGTGTTAGGATGAACAAATTTTAATGCTTGTACAGAGCAACAGGAGCCTTGGTTAACAATATACTGATTAAACAGATTTAGTATAATCAGTCTGTCTATGGCAGAACAAGAGAACACGATTTATACTGTAATCCATTTCAAATATTATTAGTATTTATGTTTCATAACTATGAATAGTTCAACTGTTATATCATAAACAGACTGATAAGTTGAAAGAAATATAACATTATGAAAGAAGAATTAAAAGATTTCCACATGCAGCATGCACCACAAACACAAGGCATGAAGGTTAAAGTGAGACAAGCAAGCACATCAACTATATATATATGCACAGGTAATGAGGGTTTGGATTGAACAGGTTGTCAGAGTCAGGTAATCTCCCCTTTATCTACATACTTTTCTAAGTGTTCATGTCAATTAATAACATAACCTGGTGTTAATATTTCATGTAAGAATTGTATTTACATCAAAACTATGAACATATGTAGATTTCTTTCTGTCATATTACCTGTGATTTTGTCTCGATACATTTTCAAAACTCATTTGAAGGGGAGATAACTCTACTATCACATTACCAGATGGGTAATATTTCATGAGGGAATAGCATTTCATACTAGATTTCATGCTTTACATGAAAACTGGGAATATGTTTTGAGTAATATTCACCAGTTCACATGTGATTTTGTCTTTCAATTTCAAAACACTCACTTGAAAGGGAGGTAACTCTAATTATCACAAATGCATCACACATCCACTGCATCAACTGTGCATGTATTTTTGGAACAAGTCTTCAAATAGAGATATAACAGGAAATGTTTTTCATGTACCTAACCATATAAAGTATTTGTACTTTGTGTATTTAAAATTGGAATGAAGGTGAATTTCAAGTTGATGGTTGAATATACAGGATAGACAATGCTTAAGGTCCAGTTTGAAACTAACCTTTGACATCCAACCTAGAAATTACACTTCAAATGTATGTATGAATTTACATAAAATTTTGAATTAAAATCTTGAATAAAACATTATAAGATCTTCATTGACAAAATTAAGATAAACTGTCTTTTAACTCTGAAACACTGTTAACATTATTTATAATTAATATTTGTGTTTTGTCAAGTACAATCAGATTTTCTGTGACTTTTATCACAAAGTGTCATTCCATTATTCTTTGCAATGTATTATGAATTATGTAAGAATAACACAACTATGTTTAGACGGTACTGTGGGCTGAATGCAAATGGATCTAAGTAATCTGCTAAGGAATATACTGTCCACACCATGTCACACAGAATGGGGGGCATGTCTGTCCATATGGGTACATGGTGCCACGCCCCCTCACCATGCCTCAGAGAGAAGCCAGGTTGAAGTCATCACGGAAACAGATTCAAATCCCCACATTGCAAACCCAAAACCAGTGAACAATCCCACTTGATATATTGATCAACAGCTTATGGTAGAAATTTAATTTGAAAAAGTTGAACTCAAAGAATCGTTGATGCAGAATAGATACATTTCTTCATGATAGCGTTTTAAAAATCAAAACACTTCTAACATAAGCTGTGACGAATACTCACTTGTGGTAAGAACAAAAGCCTCATTAAAGTATTTATATTTTGAAATCATACAATATTTAGACAGAAATGTTCTGTATACATTTTTTAATTTTTATAATGGATAACTGAAATGAATTTTGTATTATTTTTGTAATTAATATGGTCATTTAAAAATATACATTTGCGAAAAATGGAAAACCTTTTAGGTGAAGGAAATACTGTCATCTAATACTGTATGATTTCAAACAGAATAATTCAAAGAAGGAAAACAGCATCTTGTACTTACCAAATACTCTCTTTGGTATAATGGGAATTTCTGACTGCAGAGCATCGCTGCGGCCATATTTGTTCTCAGCGTACACTCGGAAGTAGTAGTCCATATTTTCAGTCAGTCCAGTGGCCGAGAAGGAAAGATTGTCGGCATCATTGCGGCCAACATACATCCAGGACTTCTTGCCATCTTCTCGCCTCTCTATGATGTAGCCAGTAATCTTTGAGCCACCATCATGACTTGGAGGTTCCCACTGGAAGGTTGCAGAGTCGCGGGTCAACTGCATTGATTTGATTGGTCCAGTTGGGGGCCCTGGAGGACCTAAAAGTGGAAAGAAATACAAGAATGAAACAGGAGACACCAAAAGTTTAACTGATTTCAGACACATAAGAAAAATGTGATTTTCCAAACCACTAATTTCAGATATATTGTGTATATATATATTAATAAAGCTTTCTAACTTTTCTTAGATTATTCAGACAGCAAACAAAACACAATAACAATTTGAAGAATATATTTCCATTCCTTACCGTATGGACTCTTTGGAATGATGGGAGATTCAGTATCAAGAGGCTGACCCACTCCAATGGCATTCTCAGCCATCACACGGAAGAAGTAGCCAACGTTGTCGAGGAGGTTCTCTACTTTCATTGTTGTTGTATCAGGATCAACCTAGAAATACAATGAGAACTCTCTATTGTATAAGTCAGTGATCCTCAATGTGAGGAATCATTCCATCCCTACACAGGATATACAAATTGTATTACTAAAGTTGCTTTCATATATTACAGTTCAGGATTTAACTGTGTACAAATTTTACATGATAAAATGTTACACATAGTCTAAATATTCCCATGTTGGTTTGCAATATCCCAGCTTTATAGCGGCGGTCTGTAAATAATTAAGTCTGGACCAGACAATCCAGTGATCAACATCATGAGCATCAAACTGCACAACTGGGATATGATGACATGTGTCAACTAAGTCAGAGAGTCTGACCACCCAATCCTGTTCACTTCTTACAACAAGCATGGTTACTGCACACCGATTCTAACTCAGATCTTCTTGGGTCCCCATAAAACCTAACAGGGATGAAAAGACACTAGATTATGTGGCCTCTTGTGACAAACATAAGTTGCTTGTGACCTTTCTAGTTTGGAATCCCCTACGAAGTAGTAAGTAAATGAGTGACTAGTAAGGGGCTTTACATATAAGGCATATTTTGTTTTATGATCAACTATGTACATGGCAAATCCTGGACAAAGTTTAGTAAAGCTCTGACCAATGAGTGTTAACTGACCTTGCCAACTCGTAGCCATGTCGGACGTCTGATGTCAGATTTCTCTATGATGTAGCCGGTCAGTCTGGACCCTCCATCACTCTCGGGTGGCAGCCACGACAGATTCACAGAGTCGTCAGTGATGTCGCTGCATTGGAGTGGACCAACTGGACGCGATGGTTTACCTGAGGAACAAGATCAAGAAACACTGATAACCACTGATGTTCTGACCTTGAAATTTGTCAAATCGTGTGGATTAAAGTTCTGATATCACTTGCATGATATTGTATGACAGAAAGGGACAACAAACCCATCAGAACTGAGGATAATCATTTCAAGCAAACACATTTACCAACGGGCTATCTCATGTCTAAGATACTGCCTTGATTATTGAGAAATGCATGTATCTGGTACTTTTAACCTGAATAGTACTAGCTTATTAAGCAAATTGTCAAGAAGATTCAAAGATCTGACATGGTAAAGGAAACTCACCCTTCTGCTTCGATGGCACAATGGCCTGTTTGAGCTCAGCTGGTGGACCATAGCCTCTGATGTTCTTGGCGCTGACTTGGAAGAAGTATTCATATCCTTCAATAAGTCCACGGATGTCGTACATGAGGTCAAAGCCTCCAACCTCTCCAGCTGTCACCCAGGTGGCAGCCTTGCCATCTCTCTTTTCAATCTTGTATCCTGTGATGACAGCGCCACCATCATACTGTGGTCGGCGCCATGTCAGCGATACCATGCTTCGGTCCACTGCAGTCTCATGGAGGTCCTCTGGAGGTCCGGCAGATCTGTACAGAATAAGCAGATCAGTGAATATGTGGAAAGTTAGAGCAGCTTTCAGAATTTATTGGGTCTGGGGTAAGCAAACCAGTTGTTGATAGTATGAACATCAATCTACCTTGCCATAATGACATTTTCAATGAAAAGACTCCCAGGTGTCTACCACCATCCCTGCACACTTTCAGTAGCCATTGTAGTCACACAATCTACATCTTTAAATTAAATGAATAGATTAAGGGAAATCGTTGATGGCACCTGTTCTTCACAAAAAAGTGTAAGACTGCTTATTACACAGAGACAAAAAGAACAGGTGTTAGAACAGTGACTCACCGACAGGTCTCTCTGGCATGATGGGTCTTGGCAACATGGCCGGTTCACTGAGACCCTCTGCATTCTCTGCCATCACCCGGAACATGTACATACGACCCTCCAGCAGGTTCAAAGCCTCAAACTTGGTCACATCCGGCGCAGTGTTGCCGATTCTCTGCCACTGCATCCTGTCTGCATCACGACGTTCAACAACATAACCAGTAAGGGGAAGGTTACCAGTAAAGTCTGGTGGAAGCCATTCAAGTTCAACTGTCTCATCCATGACATCAGATGCCCGCAGACGACTGGGTGGTGATGGAACATCTAGCAGGAGAAAGCCAACATTAAATTGGAATCAGCTGTCAAAAATTGTGTTACAAGGTACAGAGCAATGAAATTTTGTACAATTTGTTGATTCCAAAAGGTTTCTGTACATGTATCAGTAACTGAGAAACAAGGCCATTGCTTTTTAAGAACCTTTTCTCGGACATACTTTTATATACAATTCATCTTACATATACTTTTGAGATTAAAGTCCTGGGCCTGGTTTCACAAAGCGATCATAGCACTAAGATGATCGTAACTCCCATGCTTTAACATAGACTTACAACAGTTGTAGCGCTACGATCACTTTGTGAAATGGGCCCCAGATCAATACAGGAGCATCCTATTTCGCATGTCCAATTTCCATGTGATTACGTAAGAGCATAAAAACTTGTCACAATAGTATTTCTTCAAAAGAAGCTCTTACCAAACTGGCTCTTTGCAACAACAGCTGTCTTCATTTCCAGTGGTGCACCAACTCCGATCTTGTTCTCTGCCGACACGCGGAAGACGTACGAGTGATCTTCTACGAGACTTGACAGAGTGTAGTTGGTGGTGGGGCCAGCTACTCTAGCAGCCCTCATCCAGCCAGCATTGCGGGTCGTGTCGTTCTTCTCAATGGTGTAGCCAGTCACTGGGGTGCCTCCATCATCAAGTGGTGGTTGCCATGACAATGTGGCAGTGTCACGTCTCATGTTGGTCAGCTGAAGAGGTCCTCTCGGTGCTCCTGGAGCCTCTGGGTAAAGGTAAGGAAAGACAAAATGAATGATCATATCAAATCAAACAACAGATTTCATGGTCCTGGAGATTCTGGTTAATCCTGGGAATAGGAAATTAACATAAATTTGGTAAACTTGATCATCTCTGAAACATGTAATGACATTTAAATAGTCCTGACTTACCAAGTGGTCTTGTTGGCTTGACGGTTGTGTCCAGGTTGTTTGGCTTGCTGCGTCCAACTGCATTCACTGCACAGATTCTGAAGTCGTACACCTCTCCAGTTTGGAGGTTTCTGATGTTCTGTCTGGTGGCAATAGAGTCCACTTCAGCCATGGTCTTCCAGTCTTTGTCACTGGTGCCACGGGCCTCGATGACATATTTGGTGATCGGGGAACCACCATCGTCTATTGGAGGCAGCCAGTCCAGCATGACAGAGTCAGCAGTGATCTTGCTGGCTCGGACTCTGCCAGAGGGTGGGCCAGGGGGTTCTGTGTGAAAAGAAATACTTGAAGATGTAAAACTGGCATCACCTTTATATGTGATATATAATAACCAAAACATATTAAATTTTTTTTTTTCTAAATGTAGTTTAGTAGTTTGCTTCGTGAAAAGTATAATTTATTCAAATGTTTTGGTAAAATTGTTGAAACAATTGCACAGTTAAATAATTTCACATTAACGTCTGCTTCTCAAAGCACTGACCTGCTTGACGTCTGCATGATGTTGGTGAAGTTGATTCCAATGGCAGACTGAGGCCTTCATCATTTTCAGCAAACACCCTGAAGATGTAGTCATTACCCTCGATGAGACGCTCCACAGTGTAAGTGTGAGTAGCGGGTCGAACACTGTCCACAGCGCAACCAGGACTGTCTCTTGGCTTCACGACGCTCAATGACGTAATTCTTAATGGGAAGTCCTCCATCATTCTCTGATGGCTTCCACTTGAGGGTGGCCGAGTTTTTGTCTACACTGGTGATCTCAAGTGGCCCAACTGGTGGCGAAGGCACATCTGGAATGACAGACGTTCAAAATGATTTGTTCCAGGACCATTTTAATTCAAATACTTGAACATTCCTTTTAAGGAACAACAAATTATGACAAGGTAATTGTTTCCATATATCTATTATCGCAAAATTTAATGAGGCTCTTTCCAAACAGAGGATCAATATATTTTGTCAGATTTTGCTTAATATTTCCCAAAAAATTATAATACTCACTGTAAGGACTCTTTGGTGTGATTGGCTCTGATGACAACAGAGGATCTGAGATGCCAACAAGATTCTCAGCCATGACCCGGAAGTGATAGCTGTTACCTGGGGTCAGGTATTCAATGTCAGCAGTGGTTTGACTGGCCTTGACCCTGTCTCCGTGGCTCCAGTTAGTCTTGAATGCATCACGCTTCTCGATGAGGTAGTGAGTGATGGGAGACCCACCATCTTCCTCAGGAGGCAGCCAGGACAGGGTGACGCCATCTTTCCTCATGTTGATGACCTTCAGGGGTCCTTCAGGTGGTGACGGTGGCTCTGGAAATAAGATGGAAGATTGCAGTAGTGATCATCATCACAGCTGAAACAATTTGATTCAGCAAAATGCTCAGCAAACAGTGTTCCAACTATTTGAGCACAGTCAGTAAAACTCAAGCTAAAAGATCCATTTTTGGTCATGTCATTATATGACGCACAAGTCAGTTACAAAGGCTGTACAATCACCAATGTTGCACAATCACCATGGTCACACACCATCAAATTCTGATAAGAGTGGGCTCATGTGACAATAATATGGTTCTCTATTCTGACCAGGACTTCTACACCAGGACCGTACATAGGTATCTTGACACACTCAAAAGCTAAAGCTATGTCTTCGATAACAGTCACCATATTAAACATATCATGAGTACTGGCACAAAACCAATTCAAGTATTCGCTGGGGTTATTATTCTTTCCTTTAAAAGAGAAGTTTATCTACTCACTGACTACTGTCTTGACCGACACTGGTCTGTCTGTGACACTCATTTCACTGAGTCCAATGCTGTTCTCTGCCACCACTGCAAACAGATATTTCTTCTTGGAGTCAAGGTCCTTTGCCTTGAATGATGTCTTGTAGGCATCCACTGTAGCAAGGTCAACCCATTGTGAGCCTGGCTTGTCCTCTGTCATCTTCACGTGGTACTGCTTGATGCGGGAACCACCATCTTTGAGAGGAGCCTTCCAGTCAATAGTGACTGAGGAGTCAGAGACACGGCCGGGGTAGATGTATGCTGGAGCTTCTGGTACATCTGAAAGATGAAGAAAAGGAAAAGATTAGTCAGGATATCTGTAAATCCATATTAGCCATAAATATGTTGGTACATTGAAACTGTCTTGGTCAAAGCAAATGGGGAGTGACTTCATGATGGAGTGTTCATGTTTTGAAGTTTTTGATCCAGGTTGAACAACAAATATTAGAGCCATAACTATCAGTACTACTTGTCATATTTTGACATACCCTTACAACAGTTCTCATCGCTTTTACATTCATTGATAAATACCATCTTTCTATACATGTACACGATACAGAATCTGAATGCTTAAATGTTGACTGAAAGATTGTGGTCTATGGCCATCCATATATAAAAAACATCCATGTAAGTCAACTATCAAGAAAAAGAACAAAATGTAGCATGAACATCATGACATTGTCTTTATTCCTTGCTTTATGTGTTCAACCTACCTTTCTTCTTGCTTGGAGTGACTGAGTCAATACCCTCTAGAGGCAGACTCTCTCCTTCAGCATTGACCGCTCGGACACGGAAGAAGTACTCATTGTTGACCACCAGGTTCTTGGCGGTGAAGGTGAACGTTTTGGCATCTACTGCACCTGCACGTCCCCATATACTACGTCTTGATTCACGGATTTCGATGCGTAATGGAGGATTGGTGATCCGCCATCATCTTCTGATGGTTTCCATTCAAGGTCAGCAGTTGAGTCAGTGACGTTGGAAATGGCCAGAGGACCAACAGGTGGAGATGGTACATCTGAAGACATTATGGTCAACATCAATACTTCAATTTTAATACTGGTTAACAGTATCATAAGGATCACGTTGATAAAATAATTTGTCCAAATTATGAAGTGTCAGTATTTACTGAACCATGCAAATTTTCCAACTAAAATAAAAAGTTATATTTTCTGTTTGTTGCTTCAATTTCAAGGAAACTGTTTCATGCATTTGGATCCATTTTCAAACACATCACCAGATTTATAACCTACCAAATGGACTCTTGACTAAGATGGGTCTGCTCTCAAGAGGAATGCCAGCTGCCATCTTGTTGACAGCCATGACACGGAAGTAGAACTCGGTTCCTTCTGTCAGATTCTTCACCTTGGCCTTGCATGTGGGGCTAGATGTCTTCTCAGCGTGCGACCAATGAGCTCTCATCACATCCCGCTTCTCCAGCAGGTAGTGTGTGATCTCACTACCACCATCATCCTCTGGTGGATTCCAGGTCAAGGTCACTGCCTCTCTTTCAATATCCATAGCTTCAATTGGACCGACTGGCTTGCCTGGTGCACCTGGATAGTAAATACAAATATGTGCATGTTAAATATTAACTTCCCTTTGGTGAGGTTTGATCTTCAAACATGACTGCTCATGATCGGAAATATATATATATGAATATCTGTGGTAATGATCAAAGGAAAACTGATTCCCACATTGGCAAAAGAGTCTAGACATAGTCATGAATAGAGTTGAACTGTCCTGATGAATCAAGGGATTTGCTACAAAAAGCAAATTCAGCTCTGACATACACAACTTATCTTTCTAAGTAAATGAGCTACCATTTGTCAGACATTGTTTCACAACAAACCAGGATGCAATGACTGACATAACTTTATAAGCAAACACACAGTATTTGCTTCACTAACATATGGACTAGTGATTTTACACCTCAGCCACAATTCCTCAGTCAGTGAACTAGTATTTGTCAGGCCTTGTTTCCCAACAGATCTGATGCCATGACAACACTATCTAGACTCCCAGTAGCTGTAGCCATAAGAACCCGCCATCCAATATTTGTGTTCATGGAAATGTAATCAACTATTCGAGGCAAGCGTTACAGTGGGTCAGAGACTAACCTGGGGGCCTGTGAGGCACTACAGGTTCTGACTCCAGGGGTTTGCTGTTGCCAATACGGTTGATGGCAAACACCCTGAAGTAGTGCTTCTTGTTTGGTACCAGCTCCTTAGCTTTGACTGAAGTGATGCCACAGTCTGTTGTAGCCACCTCGGTCCAGGTATCGAGGTCCCGAGTTACGTCCACCTTGTAGCCAATGATGGGGATGCCACCAGGATCTTTGGGTGGATGCCAATCCAGTGTCACAAAGTCTTCTCCGATGTCACGGAATTTGATTGGTCCAATTGGAACACCAGGGGGCTCTGAATTGAAAAAGAAATTGCATTAATGATTGTGATATTCTAAACCTGTTTACAAGTTGTATGAGTGAGTTAAAATTTAATGTCGCATCACAATATTTTAGACAGATAGTGAAAAGTAAATGTTGTGCTATTCAGTCAACAATATTTACATATAAATTTTGGCCAGTGAACCAGTGATCGGTAACATAAACAAGGGTATGACACATACTGTCACAGATTAAGTAATTGATAACATAAACAAGGGTATGACACATACTGTCACAGATTAAGTAATTGATAACATAAACAAGGGTATGACACATACTGTCACAGATTAAGTAATTGATAACATAAACAAGGGTATGACACATACTACCCATCTGATCCCTCTGACAACAAGTTCTGGACCTATTCTGTACAGGATTCTTGACACATTATTTTTGAGGAATAAATTCTTAAATTTACTTCTACACATCCTAAAGATGACATTCTGATTTTTATCAATGAGTCAATTACTCACTTGGCTCTCGCATTGGTATGACTGGTTCAGTCATCTCACAAGGAGCTCCTATACCCTCCTCATTCTCAGCAAAGACACGGAAGAAGTATGGTGTGCCCTCGGTCAGCCTGGTGACCTCGAGGGTGAGGACTGAGCCACGAGTGACATCCTGCTTGATCCATGATCCATACTTCTTGTCCCGACGTTCCACAATGTATTCCTTGATGGGCAGTCCTCCATCTGTCTTCGGTGGTTTCCACTTGAGTGTGACGGAGTTGGCTGTGCTGTCAGCAGCTGTGATAGACTCTGGTGGGCCAGGTGGCTCTGTCATCCGAAATACATGCAAATGATATAGTTGGGTGCTCTAAACATTGTTATATAATACCACACTCACCATTATTCCAGTAATCTGGCCATTCTAGTTTGTTTTTATAAATTGAGAGTGAATGATAACTTTGTCATTTAGAATGAATCAATATTACTTTATGCTGCATGAGCATTGTGATTTCAATGGACACCAAGAAAGCAAATGCATTAATAACAATAAGCCATATTCCTTATAAATTTTATAGAACAATACTGTTTTTCTTCAGTAGTATCTCCTCAAAATACTCCTGTCATAAGGTCTTGTTAAAAAAGCAATGGAACTCACAGTAGGGGCTTTTGGCTATGATTGGCTCTGCAGATTCCAGAGGTTCAGACTGTCCAACAATGTTCTCTGCCATGACACGAACCATGTAGTCCTGATTCTCAATGAGGAAGGTCAGGTCACAGCTAAGGACCTTGGCTGGCACCTTCTCCACTGGCAGGTATGTGGACTTCCATGCCTCACGCTTCTCAACAACATAGCCGGTGATGGGGGAACCACCATCTCTCTCACTTGGCTTCCAGGTTACACGGAAACCACGACGGTTGATGTCGGACGCCACCATTGGACCAACAGGTGGTGATGGTGCAACTGTGAAGTGGGAAGTTTTTTACATTGTGAGAGTAGAATGTAACACAATATTATTCAGAATGAAGGCTTACCATGTCATGAAACATCATAAATGGGCTTCACTGTACTGTCCCCATCAGATATATTTGCCTCATTTACCACCATCAAGCTTTCCTTGTAACCATCACCATTTGTCTCAAAGTACTGACAGCCCTGTCCTTCTTTAACCCTTGTCCTTCATATATTTATTTTATCTCTATCTTGTGCTTGTATTTCAATATGACTCTTCAATCAGCCAGTCTGTTTTCGCTAGCAAACAATATCTGACATGTAACTGGCCACCTTTTGTTTTTGAATATTTATGCAAGTGGAACAAAATGTCTATATGAATGTCAAAATCGTACCAATTGGTTTGTCAAATCTAACTGGCTTCTTGGAGACACAGCGTTCACTGACACCAACATCGTTCTCAGCAACAACGGCAAAGAACCAGTCCACCTCTGTCTTCAGTCCGACACTCCGCAGTGTGAGCGGTAATGTTCCACTGTCTCCACTCTTTCCCACTCCTTGCTGTCCACTGTGCACTTCTCAATGTGGTAGCGACGGACCTTGGTGCCGCCATCATCTGATGGTGGGTTCCACTCAAGAGTAAGACCAACCTTGGTCATGTTCCTCAGTTGGAGGTTCTCTGGTGGTCCTGGAACTCCTATGGAAAGAAATGGATCAAAATTAAACACAATTAAACCTTTAACTAATTTCCAAAACGTATAAGTATTTGACTACCTTTGGTTTTATAATTTCAGTAATATTCCTGCAAGTTCTATCAAGAATCAGCTCCACTTATTGGATTCATATGAAGTTAAGATATATAATCTACTGTTAGAGTACCAATAGTCGATACTTCACCCACAGAGGTTTAAGTAACAATGACATTGCTTTGTAACCAAAGGACATGCATGTTCATTGCCATCATGAGGATGAAGCAGCAATTGGTGTAGCCTCAGTTGCCTGTAGATGTCAACCACTAAACATATGGTACTTTCTGAAGACACAACTGAAGAGGCGGGTACTTGCATTTGAAACTGTTTGCAGAATTATTGCAGAATGTAACAGCAAGGAACATAAAAACTTTACTGGACATGATAACCTATTTGGGAATATATACTATTATTATTCTCGCCTTAAAATTTTGCTTTCTCCTTGATGAATTTTAAATCAAGAAAGTGTTGGCCCTTATCAGCCATCATACTTTATAGGTATCCTAACAGACCTGAAGGATACTTCAGCATAACATCTCAAGACTAAATATTTTGTTAAAGCAGAATTGATAAGTGTCTGTACTTGAGAAGAACTTACTGAGATGTTTCTGTGGTCTGATTGGCTCAGAGATGATGGCAGGTGGACTCTGTCCTTCTTCATTGACCGCTACTACAGCCACGACATACTCATTGCCTGGGACCAGGTCAGTCAGCTTGATGGAGGTCATCGTGGCCTCCACTTCACAGAAGGTGTTCCAGATGGAGCGACGGGATTCACGGAACTGGATGACGTAGCCAGTCAGAGGCAGACCTCCATCACTGTCAGGTGCCTTCCATTCAATGTCTGCTGTCTTCTCATTGACATTGGCTGCCTTCAGGAACTTAGGTGGTGATGGAACGTCTGAAAAGAGACAGTGTTCTTGTGAAAGAATATACTTGTTTCTTTAAGCAATATTTGCACAACCTGGGACAAAAGAAAGGTTTTCATAATTTGTACCCATGAAGGACCTAACTCTGGATGAAATTGTGACCTCTATAACCATAAGATGGATCTGTTCGTATAAGAATTAACCCCATTTTCTCATTACTTTATCTAGATGACAAATACCACTCATGCATCAAAATATATCTCACCATAAGGACTCTTGATGAGAACTGGTTTGTCCATTTCAAGTGGCTTACTGACTCCAATCTTGTTCTCAGCACTGACGCGGAAGTAATACTCCGACCCAGTCTGGAGGTTCTGGCAGCAGAAGTTGGTGATGGAAGCATCGATTTTGTCGATACGGTTCCACTTGGTACGGCTCATGTCTCGTTTTTCCAGGATGTAGGACTTGAGAGGTGAGCCTCCATCATCCTCTGGTGGCTTCCAGGCAATAACGCAGGAGAACCTGTCAATGTCGGACACCTTGATAGGTCCAACTGGCTTAGATGGAACCTCTGTCGGAGGGAGAAGACGACTGTCAGTTTCATATGCATTTATCATGAGTGGAGTTTGTGGCAAATGAGCTAAACCTTACCAGTTATTTCCATTCAGATGGTCTTATTTGGACTGAATAATATAAATGGATAAAAGCTTCAAGTGATATCATGTGTCAAAGAAAATTAAAAGACTAAGGTAGCTATATTAAAAAGTCACATAACCTGATCAATGCCATGTCAAAGTAAATGAATCAGAGACAGATAATTATTATTTATCTCAATGTTACATCTAATCCAGGGCTGCACATATACTGCATCTAGACAAATATTTCTGTACCTTAGTTACATGATATAAGACTCAGGAACATCATCAATGCAAAAACTCAAATTGTACAATGTATTATTCTGGATGGAAAACTTGTACTAAGTGTGAACCTGCTTCATTACCTGCCTATCCAGAAGATATACAATCTCACCTGGTGGTCTGCAGGGTACAACTGGCTCAGACTCAAGTGGTTTGCCAAGACCGATCTTGTTTCGGGCACAAATACGGAATTCATACGTCTTGCCCTCCTTGAGGTCCTTGACCTTCAGCTTGGTTGTGGATGAGTTTGTCTTTCCAACTTCAAACCATTCGCCTCCCTTCATGCAGGCCTCAATGAGGTACTCTGTGATTGGTTCTCCACCGTCATCTCTTGGAGGCAGCCAATCGAGTGCCAGTGATGTTGACAGGATGTTGTGGAAACGGACTGGGCCAATTGGTGCAAGGGGAGCAGCTACAGGGACAAAATGGTGGCGTTATAGGAAGAAATACTTATTGGCACAATTTGACTTTACTTTGATGGAATACTTGACTTAATGCCTCCATGAATACTAATATCTTTAACTACTCATTAATATGTAGTAGTGCCATAGATATTAATCTAAAGAGAGACAAATTATATTCCAGATCATATGTATTTCCATGGCACGCAAAACGGACTCTCATAACATATCCAGTGAATATTTACATATCAACAGAATACCTTATTATTCCTATCAAAGATTAAGGTGTATATTCTAAATTTAAAAATAATTGCTTGTTTATGTTGTGTCATAAAAGTAATTTCTTTTCTTCTTAAAAATAAAATAAAATCCCTTCAGATAGGTGTATTAATACAAAATGAGGGCAGACTCAGTTTTAGTGGCATGCAGTGTATTTGATTGGATCTGCTCTGCTACACAGAAACAGGCAACAGCATCTAAATCTTAACCTGGTTTCTCTCGGGGCATGACTGGTTCAAGGCTCTCCAGAGGTTCTGAGAGTCCTTCTGGATTTTCAGCAAGCACACGGAAAAAGTACTCATTTCCTTCCAACAACTTCTGAATGCAATATGACTTGATACTGGGCTTCACCATGTCCACCTTGAGCCATGACGTGTGTTTTTTGTCACGACGCTCAATGTAGTAGGCAGTAAGGGCAAGGCCGCCATTAGATTTGGGTGTTTTCCATTGGATAGTAACAGTGTTGGCCGTTATCTCTAATATCTCAAGAGGGCCCTCTGGGGCTGAAGGTTTATCTGTAATTTGATTGGTTAATAAAACAGTGGTTAGTCACAGTTAGTCATCACAGACAACAATAAAACAACATTAATGTGAAAGTTAATGAAGCAAACACTTGAATTTCCACATACATTGCAAGTCAACGTCAAGGTCAGTACACATGATTGATTGGGTTAACCAATCAGATTCATTGCACCATTGTATCCCAAAAGTTCTCCTATTTACTTCTTAAATAAGCTTTTAGACATGCACATTTTGCATTTGTAAGAATGTGTCTGTGTTGTCTAGGTATAACTGGTGATATGGAAATCAACAATGGGTGCAATAATAATGTCTTTTCCAACTCTCTGAGGACCAAATCCCTGACATTCCTCTGAAAGAGTGAGTTGGGCTTATTTTCAGTTGTAACAACTTTTCAGGAAAATTAATGATCATGAAATCTGTTGGGTCAATATGTCAGTAGAACCACATAAAATATTTAACAAAATAGGTCATTAGTGTGAGAAATAGACAACAACATTGTTAAAATGATTAGCTCAAACGCAGAAGTAACACACTGTGATATTAAAAGATTTTCTCCCAGCCAGACCAAGTGTTTCTTTATACATATATACCTAGTCGAAAATATTTTTCTATTTCAAATCAGTTCAAGCTTTTTACCTCCTGTGGTTTTGGTAGACCAAAGAATTCATTAACAATAAACAAGTGATCTGGCTGAATATTTTTAACACAGAATTACATCCCGTCACAAATGAGTTCCAGTGTTCTCCAAAACTTAAATGTTTATAATCATGTTAGTTCAATGGAAACAAGAACCTGTTAGAATACCAACATTTAGCCCACATCTACATGCTGACCAAGTACTTACTGAATGGAGATCTTGGTGTAATGCCGACCTCAGTCTGGATGGCATCAGATGCTCCAACTTGGTTCTCTGCAAACACGCGGAAGTAATATTCTTGGCCTTCATGCAGGTTTTGGACACAGTATGAGAATATGTTCGGCTTGACCTTGGCGACCTCTGTCCAAGATGTCTTCCAGCCTTCACGCTTCTGCAGTACATAATGCAAGATTGGTGAACCACCATCACTCTTTGAAGCCTTCCAGGTCAAGGTCACACTGTCACGTTGAATGTCTGTGGCCTCCAGTGGTGGGGTTGGAGGTGAAGGTCGTTCTGCAATAAAGAATGACAAACATAAAGAGACATGAAGTTGTACTGAAATATTACCATATATTAGTTATCATATGAATCTTGTCTGAGATAATTGTAAATAAATCATCTTCTTCTTACCCATTGGTTTCTGTGGCTTAGCTGCAGCTTCTGTTTCTGCCATCTTGCCAATGCCGACTTCATTCTCTGCAGCAACTGCAAAGAAGTAGTCTTGACCTTCCTCAAGATCCTGAACTTCATAGTCTGAGTCAAAGGCCTTGACCTTGGCAACCTCCTTCCACTCTCCTCTTGTCTTCTTTGAGGTGTAGATATGGTAGCGAGTGATCTTGGATCCACCATCATCAGAGGGTGTACCCCAGTCAATAGTGACCGACTTCTTGGTGATCTTGCTGACACGCACAAACAGTGGTGGACCTGGGGGCTCTGCGGAGGTTGAAGAGAACTTTGCATTACAATATGAGACTCAAGCTAACAAAAAATACTATTGTCTGATTGTCTGATATGACCTCTTGTCATCACCTTAATGCATCTAAACATAGCATCCCTTTTCTGAAAGTAGTCAAGCTGAATGCAGCTGAATAAGCTCTGCGTCATTTACTTTTTCAGACATAAAATCACAGCCTGGACATGTCAGAGCCATGCATGACACAATAAGTAATAGTCCAACCATGACACCATCAACTCAAGAACACATTGTGGTTCCCAAATCCTAATCTTATGACAAGCATAGGAGATAAGAAACAAGTCTGATTTGGAATCCTAAAGGGGAACTTTGATACAAGAAAGCATGAAACAAAACTGGTTTGCTTTTAGTCCAACTGACCTAGTTCTCTCATTGGCTGGACTGTTTCCTTCAGGTTGAGAGGAGGTCCTTCTCCCTCTGCATTGACTGCAATGATGCGGAACATGTACTCGTTGCCCAACACCAGGTTGAAGACCTCATACTCTAGCTCTGTTGGCTTCACTGAATCAATTCTGTTCCACGTGGAGCGACGCACATCACGCATCTCAATGATGTACTTGGTGAGAGGAGTTCCTCCATCACTTTGAGGTGGTTTCCATTCCAATACACAACTGTCCTCTGTCACATCAAACACCTTGATTGGTCCAGTGGGTGCAGATGGAACATCTGAAACGGACAACAATATTCAATACCCTGTCATAAGTTTGGTGACAATTTGTACAGTAATTTGGAACATTTGTATAAAAAGGAATCTTCTGCACTTGATTCTCTCCTGTAACATGACACTGATATTGTTGGAACATTGACAAAAGAGAGCATGACTACTTGCATGACTACTACGACTTTGTGTGAGAAGTGAATAACTCAGAACTTAACACCTGAGAAAGGGGATAAGGATCAAATATTGAACCAAACTTCAGGTTTGCAAAAATATACAAAAGAGGGAACTCACCAAATGGACTCTTGGGGATGAATGCCCTGTCTGATTCCAGAGGTTTGCTAAGTCCCACTGAGTTTTCAGCAAAGACACGGAAGAAATATTCACTGCCTTCTACAAGGTTCTGGACAGTATATGTGGTGATGTCTGGCTTGATTCGATCAACCTTCGCCCAGGTCATCCTCTTGGCATCCCGCTTCTCGATGACGTATGCTGTGAGCGGTACGCCACCATCATCCTTGGGTGGTTTCCATCTGATGCTGATGTTGGTGCGTTGGATGTCCGTTACTTCAAGAGGTCCAACTGGTTTGCCTGGCAGCTCTGTTAAAACAACAAGTTTTATTATAAACCTTGAATTCATTCCACTGATTACATTGGCAAAAAAATAAGGGAATCTTCCTGTCATGAAAATATCCAGAAACCAAGAAGCATCACCACCACTGTAACTGATTTATAAGGCATCTTTTCAAGAACGGCATGCTTTGAAATCATCATAATCTGCTGAAAGGAGTAAGGACTAAAATGCTGAGGATCCTTTCAACACACTAGATCTTCATAAAAAATATATGAACAAATTCCAGGGGGGTATCGCCTGTTTCATCACAGTGCATACCTCCACTAATTTCAAACATCTTTCAGTTGACCTGTCAGTCCTTTTATGTTTTTTGTTCAATTCATAACTTGGGTAGTGCCAAAGAAAAACTTATTGATTGTAATTACAATAGTAAACCTCCCTCCAGTACATGATGACATGAGATAAAAGCAGGAGAAACAGGGCAGAGTTAAAAAGACATTTATATGTCTTTAGTGGTACATGTTGTCCATCAATGTGAGTTATCTCCCCTAAATCAGGAAAACCTGTCCTTCATCAACCCAGTCCAATCTCACTTATTTCAAACACCTTCCACGTCGAAATGTCAGTCCTTTTTGTTCACCTTATGAATAGAGGACTGTACACCCCCCACCCCCTCCATGTTTTAAATCCCTACTTCTCCCCTGGTTCCTTTGTTCCTTAATTTCTGCTACTTATTCAGACTCACCTGGAGGTCTCCTTGGTGTGACAGACTCAGACTCCACTGGCTTGCTGACACCAACAGCGTTGACAGCCTTGATGCGGAAGTAGAGCTTCTTGCCCTCTTTCAGGTTGTGAGCCTTGTAGTCGGTCTTGCGGCTGTCCACCTTCTTGAACTCAGACCAGTCAACCTGGTCAGCGCTGACCTCGATGATATAGTCTGTGAGTGGTGATCCACCATCATCTTCTGGCTCATACCAGGTCAAGGTCAGAGATGTTGCTTCCACATCGTTGAAGCGGACTGGTCCTTTTGGTGGTCTGGGTGCCTCTGGAGATATAATACATGCTGATAGTCAGATGTCTGTCACCATGAATACTGCAATTTTCATGCCATTACAAAGATGATCCCAACTCCCAATCTTTGACATAATCTTATGATAATTGTAGCACTATGATAGCTTTTTCAAACAGAGCTGAGGTTAATGCCCCAAAAGGGAACAAATTGAGAAGCGTCTTCTTGGTGTTCCAAACTGTGTGGCAAGACTATTCATAGCTTAAATGTATTCAAGACCCTTGTTCTTGCCAGAAACTTGGCACACTCAGAGAATTAAGAATAGAAGAGTTAATCATTAATTACATTAATTACATCATTACATTAACCATGTAGATAGCCTTAACCCAGACAGGAACATTTTAGAGGAAAATGCAGATATATTGTTATAAACATGAAGACACTAACCTGCTTCTCTGATGGGTTTGAATTTAGGTGAGTCCAAAGGTGGGCTCATGCCCTCTGCATTTTCAGCGATGACTCGGAAGAAGTACTCGTTGTTTGTGACCAGACCCTGAATGCAATAGGAGGTGATGTTCGGCTTGACCTTGTCAACATGGATCCAGGTCATGCGTGTAGCATCACGCCGCTCGATGATGTAGGCAGTGAGTGGGGTACCACCATCAGACTTTGGTGGGTTCCACTTGATGCTAACACTTGTGGCTGTGATCTCAGTGGCCTCAATGGGTGCTTCTGGGGCACTGGGTACCTCTGCAATAGGAACAGGAAATGTATAGATTTGCTTTGTACTGAGGTCAATTTGAATGTCCATCTTCTGTGAGGAAACTAAACAAGTGAACAGAATCGTGACAAGACAAGCAAGTTGCATAAACATTATTACATCATGATGTCACATAGCTGGTAGATTTAAAGCCATCAGATGATTAGATTTGTGGACTAGTTATAATAATATGTATTCCTGGAGTAAACTGTCATAACTAAAATTGTTTGTCATAGCTAAAATTATCATGAATTAATACCAAAAGGAGATACAATATCAGACATCTGATCAACTGACTATCATCATGTTTGAATCAATAAACTTGAAATGAAATTGAGATACGTACTGAATGGACTCTTGGGTATGACTTTGTCTGATTCCAGAGCATCAGATCTACCAACAAGGTTCTCAGCAGAGACCCGGAACACATAGTCATGACCCTCCTTGAGGTTCTGGACACAGAAGCTGGTCATATTTGGCTTGACCACAGTAACAGGGGACCAGGTCATCTTGAAGCCATCCCGGCGCTCGATGGCATAGCCAGTTAGAGGAGAACCACCATCACTCTTTGGAGCTTTCCAGGTCAAGGTCAGACTTGTCTTCTGGATTTCACTAAATTCAATGGGGCCTTCTGGGGCTGCTGGTTTGGCTAGAAAAGAAAGGATGTTTTGGTCAGTACAGAGATCTACATATTTAATTAATTCCTTGGAAAGTATACAGATTTATTAACATTTTTGCATCATCTGAAGCACAGATGAACAAGATTATGAACAATGCTAAACTCAATTCTTTTCATTTTCAGTCAGATACATCACATAACCATCTCATGAAGGTAACCTAATATAAATCATTGGTTTAAAGTTGAAGAGGTTAAACAAAATCAAACGAAGAAGAACATTTAGGTGGGTCAAAACAAAGACAATGAATACAATGTGTTTGACAGGGTATTGGTGTTTGTGCAGTTTTGTACATGTATGTCTGTCTCTCACTGAACAAGACTCACCAATTGGTCTCTTGGGTGAGATTGGACTCTCTGTTTCCAGGGTTTGACCAGTACCGATCTTGTTCTCAGCAGTCACTGAGAAGAAGTAGCCATGTTCCTCCTTCAGGTCTTTGACAACGAAGGTATTTTCAGTGCCACGGACATTGCCAGCTTTGGTCCAGTCCTTGCTCTTTTCTTCACGCACTTTGATGACATAACCTGTGACCTTGGAACCTCCATCATCCTTTGGTGGGGTCCAGGTGAGTGTAACAGAATCCTTGCCAATGTCCTTGACCTTGATTCCAGCAGGAGCACCAGGTGGGCCTGGAAGGAGAAATGAATGTATTGGCAATATGTCGAGATTAACGTTGGACAATCTAAAATCCTAAAACTTAATTTGTTTGTCAAAACAAAACAAAATTTTACACCAGGGCAATAAAGCAACAGAAAGAGGTCTTATTAACATAACCATTTGACATAAATTATCACAAATGTGTTTCTGAAAAGTGATAATGGTGGTGGTGGTTAATTAATATTTAGAATAGAGCTTCATGACTGAATTTGTCGTTTTAGATACAAATTTGCTAAAAATATGTACTATATCTCACTTTGTTAACATATAAAGCTCACAGTCTAGATCAAGATTTATTCAGATGTTCCCAATTCAGAAAATGATGGCAACCGAAAGTGTGACTAGTCCAAGTTTTTCACTTACTCAGCTCTCTCTGTGGCTTGACTGTATCCTTGCTCTCCAGAGGCTGGCTGGGACCTTCAGCATTAATAGCTGTGACACGGAAGTAGTACTCTGAACCCTCAATGAGGTCTTTGACAGTGTGTTTGTGGACATCAGGGCCGACAGTGGTTGTCTTCATCCATGTGGGTCGGCGTACATCACGGTATTCAATGAGGTAGCCAGTGAGTGGCGTTCCTCCATCACTCTCGGACGGCTGCCAGGTCAGGACCACAGATTCATGGGTAATGTCGGAGAACTTGAGCGGACCAAGGGGCTTGCTTGGTTTGTCTGAGAACAGAGGATGCAATGAAAATATGCAACAGACTTAACATTCACAATGGAATTCAAAAGTCACATCTTCTGTGAACTTGATTCCGAAGACAAAGGGTATATATTACAATCAGACTGGACTCCCTCAATATAGATACAGATATAATACTTCTGCGAAAACTGAATAGAAGACAAGTCTAAAAACTGTTAACACAGTCAACTAATCACCAGAAAATTATTTCAAAGCTGGCCAGAAGAGTCAGGTTCGACAAGAATGACAACAGTCCATGCTATTGGGTAATGATCATACACAACCAGCCACATCACACACAAAGAAAATTTACCATAAAGACTCTTTGGTGTGTAGCCCTTGCTTGTCTCCAGAGGCTCACCGGCACCATGCTTGTTCTCAGCAGTGATGCGGAACACATATTCAGTGCCTTCCAGGAGGTTGGCAACATGATAGGAGGTCTTCTTAGATGGCACCTTGTCGATGCGTGACCAAGTTGGGCTCTTGGCTTCCTTCTTCTCAAGGATGTATTGAGTGATAGGTGATCCGCCATCATTCTTTGGTGGAGTCCATTCCAGAGTGAGTTCTGTGCGGTCCAGATCTTTGGCGGTCAGGCTTTCACACTTGTGTGGTTTGGCTGGAAAAGAGAAGATGTTTGATTTACATCCTGTTGTTTCCATCTATGTATAATTTGGACATACCTTGCATGATATGTTCTAAATATAATCTTCGTTTATAGTGCAAACTGGTTAAACTACAGGGTGCATCTTTCACACAATCTCAAACGTTTTTATACCCAACAGCTGGCATGTATATTTTGAAGTGAGTAAGAATCTTGTTTTAAGTCTGACATTGTTCAGTATTCAAGAGAACTGTAAGAATTTCAGGATTATGTGAGAGGAAACAGTATAGAGACACAGGTGTTTACCCCATTGGCCAAACGAACAAACCTGACATTATTCACAAAGCTCAGTAAGCCTAAGATCTCAGTACTAGCATTCGTGCCTCCTATACTGTAACATATGAGGTACTAATGCTACGAGAAAAGTTACGAGAGCGTTGTGAAACGGGGCCCTGGCAGCCATTAAGCATAATCAAAGATTCAACCCAAAGTCAAGCAGATCCAAACGACTAAGATGACTTGGCCATGTGCTCTTGGGAATCTAACACAAATTCACAGTGACAGAGATATACATGAATCAGTACACATACATTATTTATCAATCAATGAAAGTCTACTCACTCTCAGGCTTCTTTGGTTTGACACAGTCTTCTGTTTCTGCAGGTTCACTAAATCCGACCTCATTCTTGGCAGAAACAGCAAAGTAGAAGCCAACATTCTCCTTCAGTTTCTCAACCTTGAAGCTGGTGTCATAGGACTTGACTTCCTCAACTTTCACCCATTCCTCAGAGGTCTCCTCACATTTCTCAATCTTATAGTTGGTGACCTTGGCGCCACCATCTTCCAGAGGAGCCTTCCAGTCAAGGATGACAAAGTCAGGACCGACCTTGGTAACTTTCAGACCCCTTGGTGATCCAGGTGGCACTACATAGAACATATACTCCTGCATCAATACTGGGCTTGTGGCACTACATAGAACATATACTCCTGCATCAATACCGGGCTTGTGTTATGGCATGTCCTGGATACATTGATGTCTAATGTGTCTGTCCTTTGATTGTTTAGTTATCGAAACATTTTTTCCAAAATCATTACTGGACATCTTTTGCTTCTTTTCGGCAAAATATTTCAGACATAATACATATGCAGCCTCAAGTTTACAGTAGTGAGTGAGTTTAGTTTTACGCCGCACTCAGCAATATTCCAGCTATATGGCGGCGGTCTGTAAATAATCGAGTCTGGACCAGACAATCCAGTGATCAACAGCATGAGCATCGATCTGCGCAATTGGGAACCGATGACATGTGTCAACCAAGTCAGCGAGCCTGACCACCCGATCCCGTTAGTCGCCTTTTACCACAATCATAGTCGCCTTTTATGACAGGAATGGGTTGCTGAAGATCTATTCTACCCCGGATCTTCACGGGTCCCAAGTTTACAGTAATAACAGCAGCTAGATAGTACCCTACACAAAGAAAGACCACTTAACACTTTAACAAACTGAAATTAGCAGCTGGTCATGAAGCAATGTTCCTCTTCAAAGACTAGACTGTCCTCCCCATACAAAATCAACAGGCTAAGATAGCAATATGTTCCACTGGTGTCATCACACAGGCTTAAAACCAATGCATTAGGTTTCCAGTTGTATCATTACATCTACATATATACTTACAGATTTTCTTGAGTGGCCTAATGGTGTCCTTGGTCTCAAGAGCATCACTGTCTCCTTCGTCATTGACAGCAATGACACGGAAGTAGTAGTCTGTTCCATCCTTCAAGTCTTGAGCTGTGAAGGAGGTCTTGTCAGCATCAACCTTGCCAATCTTGCTCCATGCCATCTTACTGCTTGGCCTCATCTCGATGATGTAGTTCTTGATGGGAAGACCACCATCACTGTCAGGTGACTTCCAGGTAAGATCAGCAGTGTCACAGGTGACATTGTCAACATTCAGAGGACCTCGAGGTTTGGATGGTTTGTCTGTGAAAGGCATATGGCACCCATGTTAGAAATGCAACACTAAGGTAGCATCAAGTCTAATGCAACAATGACAAAAAAAGATGACATAATTCATTTGAATTTCAGGATCTTGAAAAGGATGTCTTCACTATACCAGATAAAACAGTTTCCAAACAAACATAATACACTTTGACTTTAAAACATACATCAAAATTAACTACAAAATTTAGAAAAATAAATAAGATTTGATATGTTTTTTCCCTAGCTTTCTTGTATGACAGTCATTGTATACTTTATCTCCAAATTTCCACCTGTACATGAAAATGAAATAATCTCAGAAAATACACAAAGAATGTCATGAAATCAAACATGGGATAAATCCTCTGATCACTCACTGTATGGACTCTTGAGGACAGTTCCAGTCTCGGTCTCAAGAGGCTCACTGATGCCATGTTTGTTTTCAGCAGATATACGGAAGTTGTATTCTGTGCCTTCAATAAGTTTCTCGGCCCTGTGGGAGAGGACTTTAGGTTCAACACGGTCAAGTGGCGTCCACTTGGGCCTAGATGCTTCCCGGCGCTCAAGAATGTAGCCAGTGAGAGGAGAGCCACCATCGGACTTGGGAGGGGACCAGCTGAAGGTCACGGCTGTGCGGTCAACATCAGAGAATTTAACTGGACCTTCTGGTGCACTTGGAGGGCCTGTAAGAACATGAATTCGATTGATATAACAGATATGCACTGACAAATAAGAGGGAGCATTTTGACATCTTTACAGAATACCTTCTACCAAAATTACACTGATTCCATGTCTTTTTCTCCAAAAGATGGCAAAGAAATTTCATTAAGATGCTATTATCAAGATACAATATCTCTTCTGGTTCAGACTCAATTATTTACTGACTGCCAACATTTAGCTGGAATATTGTTGAGCATGGCATTCAACAACAAACATGGCTGATGAGCTACTATCATCAATATGTTATTATCAAGAGACCATTATTGACATTAAAGAGTATTGTCAGTGTGTGCTTATCAAGAGTTTACGATCAAGAAGTAACCATCAAGATGCCATTAACAAAGAATGACAGCAGAACTTAGTTTACACTGAAGACAAACTTTTCAGGATGCCTTTATGAAGGTGCTATTATCAAGGTTCCCCTATCAACATACCATTATGAAGGCAATGACAGCAGAACTTAGTTTACTTCATCCCTATCACCGCCACATAGCTGGAATATTGCTGAGTGCGGCGGAAAACTCAACTCACTCATCCCTATCAGTATCCATGTCCTCACCTTCAGGCTTCTTGGGTGTGATGACAGCATCTGTTTCCACAGAACTGCCATAGCCCACTTGATTCTTTGCTGACACACGGAACAATAGGCCAACATTTTCCTTCAAGTTCTCCACCTTGTAAGCTGTGTCATAAGACTTGACTTCTTCCACAGTGGTCCATTCTTTAGCTTTCTCCTCCTTCTTCTCGATCTTGTAGTGAGTGACCTTGGCACCACCATCTTCCTTAGGTGGGTTCCACTCCAGGGCGACGTAGTACTGACCGATACGACCAGGTCTCAGGTTTCGGGGTGGTCCGGGTGGTTCTGGGTAGAAAGGCACAATTATGCAGTTCAGACAGGTAATAAATAGATCATATTTGATTGCTCAATACCTAAAATCTAATTCACAGGAAACATGTATAAGAAAATTCCCAATGGCAGCAGAAAATTAGTTGAATTATATTAATAAAACATAAACATAATATACTGACATTTTTCTGATGAGTGATAAATAAGTATTTAAATGAGTTACTTTAATAATCATTGCATTCAGTTAATTCCAGTTTGACATTGTAAGAATGATGATTGAAACATACCAAGTTCTTTAGCAGGCTTGACTGCATCCTGGCTGACAAGAGGTTCACTCTCTCCCTCATCATTGACAGCAATAACCCGGAAGAAGTATTCCTGGCCTTCACGAAGGTCATTTGCAGTGAAGGTCAAGGTCTTTCCATCAACTTTGCCCGACTTCATCCATGAGGATCTGGAAGCTGGTCTGTATTCAATGATGTATCCAGTGATTGGCAGACCTCCATCAGCATCAGGAACCTTCCATTTCAGGTCAACTGAATGGTCAGTCAAATTGTCTGTCTCAATGGGTCCTCTTGGTTTTGATGGCTTGGCTAAAATAGATTTAAATATATTGATACTCAAAATCTTATTACATACATGTCAGTCCCTGATAGATTCTGCACTGAAAATTATCAAATTGTTTCAAACTGAATGTAAAACCCATCCTTGATTGTCCAGTGAATCATATTTCGATTATATATGATAAAAACACTGGACCTACTGACCACCAAAGCATTAAACTGAGTCTGATTCAAAGACACAACTCACCAAATCCAAACAATTATATTATACTCAGGGAGAGAAGGTTTGTACTTAATGGTAAGAGAGATAAAGATGGTGACATCACCTTCTAAGAGTGGTGGTGAGTGAGTGAGTGATTACGGTTTTACGCCGCTTTTAGCAATATTTCAGCAATATCATGGCGAGGGACACCAGAAATGGGCTTCAGATATTGTACCCATATGGATAAACGAATCTGGGTCTTCAGCATGATGAGCAGATGATTTAACCATTAGGCTACTCCACCGTCCCAAGAGTGGTGGTGAATGGAACAAGGTATCTATATAATAGAATGGATATATATAAAAGCCTTGATAATAAAGGATGGAAACCACACCAAATAGTTGGATACAGTGGCTGAGATACTCACTGAACTGGCTCTTGGGGGTGACGCCTCTGTCTATTTCTATGGGTTCACTGACTCCCACTTTGTTCTCAGCTGACACCTGGAAGGAGTACTCTGTGCCCTCAACCAGATTCTGAGCCTTGGTCTTCAGTGTCTTGGCATCAACACGGTCAATTTTGGTCCATTTGGTACGAGAAGCTTCCCGTCTCTCAATGATGTAGCCTGTGATTGGCGAGCCACCATCTTCTATGGGAGGCTCCCAGACCAGGTTCAAGGATGTTCGCTCAACATCAGCAGTCTTGAGAGACTTTGGTGGGCCAGGAGGTCCTGAACACAAGATTTAATGATGTTGTTATGGACTTTTTCCATGGAAAGATAGATCCTTGTAAAGAAAGAAAGTGATTCTTATCTTTGTCCAGTTATATTCCACCAGGGGGACACTATGGTTTCACTCATTGCACCAAGGCTGGAGTTGAACCTTGACCTTCAGCAGGACAACTGAACCATTTAACAAGGCTATTAAACTTCAGAAATCATCCTTACAGGAATAACATTACTTAGCTATCTTTCTTATTTCAAAGATCATTGGAACAATAAACAACATAAATTGTAGCAGCAAACTGACCTTCAGGCTTTCTTGGTTTGATGACGGAGTCAGTCTCAGCACTTTCTCCATAACCAACTTCATTCTTTGCAGTAACAGCAAAGAAGTACCCAACATTCTCCTTGAGCTTCTCAACCTTGTATGCTGTGTCATATGACTTAACCTCATCGACCTTGACCCAATCCTTTGATTTTTCCTCACATTTTTCAATCTTGTAGTGAGTGACCTTGGCACCTCCATCTTCCTTTGGTGGATTCCACTCCAAGGCGACATAGTACTGACCGACACGACCTGGCTTCAGGTTCTGTGGTGGACCTGGAGGTTCTGGAGAAGAAAATAACAAAGGTCATTTGTGATGACAACAGATCCATAATGTTAGGGATGTGGAATGTCCAAATAACATAACATATTGTTGAAGAATATCAGAAAAATTAGATCACAAAGGATATTATTAAAAACTTCCATCAGAGCAACACACTCTGCAAAATCAAACCATTGTGACAACTGAAACTCATTAAGTTGGCTCTTTCAAGTAAGGGAGGCTGTGGATTAGACAGCAATTACCAAGATATTTGTTGAGACAAATCTACAAACTTACTGAGTGACTTCATTGGTTTGATGGTTTCCTTGGAATCCAGAGGTTCACTTTCTCCCTCGTCATTGACCGCAATAACTCGGAACAGATATTCAGTTCCCTCATCTAGATTGTCTGGTGTGAACTTGAGTGTCTGTCCATCCACTCTCCCTGCCTTGGACCATGTTGTCCTTGTGGCTGGTCTCATCTGAATGATGTAGTTCTTGAGTGGCAGACCGCCATCACTCTCTGGTGCCTTCCATTCCAGATCACAGGAGTGGTCAGTCACGTTCTCAATCAGCAGAGGACCACGTGGCTTGGATGGTTTGTCTGCAAAAAGTGTACACATATGAAAATTTCTTAAGGAATGGGTATTTCAAAAGTAGTCAAACATTTACATACAGATACCCGGTTATTTAACATTTCGTTTAATACATCAAAACATTATCTCACCATAAGGACTCTTGGGTGTCACTGCTTTGTCCAACTCAGTGGGTTCACTGACACCGATCTTGTTCTCAGCTGACACACGGAAGTAGTACTCAGTGCCTTCAATCAGGTTGACAGCTTCAAGTGTAAGTTTGTCTGCCTTCACTCTGTCCAGTTTGGTCCATGTGGAGCGAGATGCCTCTCGTCTCTCAACAATGTAGCCGGTCAGAGGAGATCCACCATCATCCTTGGGTGGCTTCCATTCCAGAGTCACAGATGTCCTGTCGATCTTGGATGTCTTGAACTCCTGGGGCTTAGATGGTTTGCCTGAATAACAATGTGATATGCTAAAATATCAATGGTATAAACATGACTCTTGGAAAATTTTGACAAGTGTACTTATATACCATTCTGTTCAATGAAAGAGTTGAGAGAATATGAGAAACGATACATAATCATCAGTACAAGATATCCATGGTAACACATTCATGGAAATATGCTAACACTGTCTAACATACCAGCAGGTTTCTTGGGAGTGATGACCGAGTCAGTCTCAGCAATTTCACTATAGCCAACCTCATTCTTGGCAGTGACAGCAAAGAAGTAACCAACATTCTCCTTCAGTTTCTCAATCTTGTAGGCTGTGTCATATGATTTGATCTCGGCAACCTTCACCCACTCTTCAGATGTCTCCTCACATTTCTCAATCTTGTAGTGAGTGACTTTGGCACCACCATCTTCCTTTGGTGGTTTCCATTCAATGGCAACATAGTCCTGTCCAACATGGCCGGGTTGCAGGTTCTGAGGTGGACCTGGAGGTTCTGTAAAGGACAAATGGAAATTGTGATAAAAATGTAACTCTACAAATGATTTTAGCCGACTCACTGTATATTACTCTCAAAGGAACTGATTCTTTCCTTCATACACGAATAGAAGTGATTGATGGATGTGTGTCAACATAGGATCACTAGATGTATGATAATACATGTCCAATCATCATCACTATATGCATTAGTGCAAGAGAAGTATCACAAGAGAAAACTGCATTAATTTCATTTTACATTTATACAGACATGACATCACATATTTTAAAGGTAAGATTTAATTTTCATAATGTGCATTTTCCTGCATTCATAACAACATGTCGAAACAATTTTGATCGGGAAACTTTACAGTAATGACTTGTAACATTTTCAGCACACTTACTGAGAGCCTTCCTGGGCTTAGCTGAGTCTTTGCCTACAAGAGGTTCACTCTCTCCCTCGTCATTGACAGCAATGATACGGAATAGGTAATCAGTTCCTTCATTGAGGTTGTCGGGTGTGAATTTCAGAGTCTGTCCGTCGACTTTGCCGGCCTTGGACCAGGTGGTTCGTGTGTCTGGTCTCATCTCAATGATGTAGTTCTTGATTGGTAGACCGCCATCACTCTCTGGTGCCTTCCATTCCAGATCACAGGAGTGGTCAGTCACGTTCTCAATCAGAAGAGGACCACGTGGCTTGGATGGTTTGTCTGTAAAATAGACACAGGTACACTGATCTGAGGCTGTCCCTTCATCAACTGTTGCTCACTTTATAGACATCTTGTATACTGGATATTACAGAGATAAATAAAATTGTATAGAACTCTTACTAAAATTTTAAAATTCTCCTCAAAATGAAGTAAAAAAAAAAAATGTACCATAAGGACTCTTGGGTGTCACTGATTTGTCCAACTCAGTGGGTTCACTGACACCGATCTTGTTCTCTGCTGACACACGGAAGTAGTACTCGGTGCCTTCAATCAGGTTGACAGCTTCAAGTGTAAGTTTGTCTGCCTTCACTCTGTCCAGTTTGGTCCATGAGGAGCGAGATGCCTCTCGTCTCTCAACAATGTAGCCAGTCAGAGGAGACCCACCATCATCCTTAGGTGGCTTCCATTCCAGAGTCACAGATGTCCTGTCGATCTTGGATGTCTTGAACTCCTGAGGCTTGGGATGGTTTGCCTGAAGATGAAAGACTATATTGTTGAAGACATACATAGTTTTCACATACACACTGCAGTTTGCACTTTGATCATTGTTTCATGCCATTTCAATTCATTCTGATAAAGATAACCAATTCCTTAATATACTAAGTATGATCGACAAATACACATCTCCAAGACACAAAGTTGGGACTGGTGATAAATTAAGTTGTGACAAAAGCTATGTCTACCAAGAAAGGAAGTGATGTCACACAAGAGAGCTCTACGTACCAGCAGGTTTCTTGGGAGTGATGACTGAGTCAGTCTCAGCAATTTCACTATAGCCAACCTTCATTCTTGGCAGTGACAGCAAAGAAGTAACCAACATTCTCCTTCAGTTTCTCTATCTTGTAGGCTGTGTCATATGATTTGATCTCGGCAACCTTCACCCACTCTTCAGATGTCTCCTCACATTTCTCAATCTTGTAGTGAGTGACTTTGGCACCACCATCTTCCTTTGGTGGTTTCCATTCAATGGCAACATAGTCCTGTCCAACATGGCCGGGTTGCAGGTTCTGGGGTGGACCTGGAGGCTCTGGAGAAGAAAAGAAACAATGGTCATTTGTGATGACAACAGATCTGTAATGTTAGGGATGTGGAATGTCCAAATAACTTTGGAGTTGTCTCAAAAGTTAATTACCCATTTACAGGTCTCACCCTTTAGAATTTAAAAACCAGTCATTTCTATTCATCATGCTTAAACTTAACACAAAAGAATTATTGAGCATTTTTTGAAATATACAAACAGATCAATGTTTAAATGTATACTTCTATATACTGTTTCAGATCACATATTTGCCATTAAAATGTTTTGCTGAACTGGCACATGTTGACAAAATAATTTCCCTCCACAGTTTAACATTAGCAAAAAACAAAGAACATCACAAAGAAACTGCTGTCTTATAGACAATGCAATCTGAGTATTGATCAACTTACTGAGAGCTTTCTTGGGCTTGGCTGATTCCTTGCCTTCAAGAGGTTCACTCTCTCCCTCGTCATTAACAGCAATGATGCGGAATAGGTATTCAGTTCCTTCAATGAGATTGTCGGGTGTGAACTTGAGTGTCTGTCCATCGACTTTACCGCCTTGGACCAGGTGGATCTTGTGGCTGGTCTCATCTCAATGATGTAGTTCTTGAGTGGCAGACCACCATCACTCTCTGGTGCCTTCCATTCAAGATCACAGGAGGGTCAGTCACATTCTCAATCAGAAGAGGACCACGTGGCTTGGATGGTTTGTCTGTAAAATAGACACAGGTACACTGATCCGAGGATGTCCCTTCATCAACTGTTGCTCACTTTATAGACATCTTGTATACTGGATATTACAGAGATAAATAAAATTGTATAGAACCCTTACTGAAATTTTAAAATTCTCCTCAAAATGAAGTTAAAAGATAAATTTACCATAAGGACTCTTGGGTGTCACTGCTTTGTCCAACTCAGTGGGTTCACTGACACCGATCTTGTTCTCTGCTGACACACGGAAGTAGTACTCGGTGCCTTCAATCAGGTTGACAGCTTCAAGTGTAAGTTTGTCTGCCTTCACTCTGTCCAGTTTGGTCCATGAGGAGCGAGATGCCTCTCGTCTCTCAACAATGTAGCCGGTCAGAGGAGACCCACCATCATCCTTGGGTGGCTTCCATTCCAGAGTCACGGATATCCTGTCGATCTTGGATGTCTTGAACTCCTGAGGCTTGGATGGTTTGCCTGAAGATGAAAGACTATATTGTTGAAGACATACATATTTTTCACATACACACTGCAGTTTGCACTTTGATCATTGTTTCATGCCATTTCAATTCATTCTGATAAAGATAACCAATTCCTTAATATACTAAGTATGATCAGCAAATACACATCTCTGAGACACAAAGTTGGGACTGGTGATAAATTAAGTTGTGACAAAAGCTATGTCTACCAAGAAAGGAAGTGATGTCACACAAGAGAGCTCTACGTACCAGCAGGTTTCTTGGGAGTGATGACTGAGTCAGTCTCAGCAATTTCACTATAGCCAACTTCATTCTTGGCAGTGACAGCAAAGAAGTAACCAACATTCTCCTTCAGTTTCTCTATCTTGTAGGCTGTGTCATATGATTTGATCTCGGCAACCTTCACCCACTCTTCAGATGTCTCCTCACATTTCTCAATCTTGTAGTGAGTGACTTTGGCACCACCATCTTCCTTTGGTGGTTTCCATTCAATGGCAACATAGTCCTGTCCAACATGGCCGGGTTGCAGGTTCTGGGGTGGACCTGGAGGCTCTGGAGAAGAAAAGAAACAATGGTCATTTGTGATGACAACAGATCAGTAATGTTAGGGATGTGGAATGTCCAAATAACTTTGGAGTTGTCTCAAAAGTTAATTACCCATTTACAGGTCTCACCATTTAGAATTTAAAAACCAGTCATTTCTATTCATCATGCTTAAACTTAACACAAAAGAATTATTGAGCATATTTTGAAATATACAAACAGATCAATGTTTAAATGTATACTTCTATATACTGTTTCAGATCACATATTTGCCATTAAAATGTTTTGCTGAACTGGTACATGTTGACAAAATAATTTCCCTCCACAGTTTAACATTAGCAAAAAACAAAGAACATCACAAAGAAACTGCTGTCTTATAGACAATGCAATCTGAGTATTGATCAACTTACTGAGAGCTTTCTTGGGCTTGGCTGATTCCTTGCCTTCAAGAGGTTCACTCTCTCCCTCGTCATTAACAGCAATGATGCGGAATAGGTATTCAGTTCCTTCAATGAGATCGTCGGGTGTGAACTTGAGTGTCTGTCCATCGACTTTACCGGCCTTGGACCAGGTGGATCTTGTGGCTGGTCTCATCTCAATGATGTAGTTCTTGAGTGGCAGACCGCCATCACTCTCTGGTGCCTTCCATTCCAGATCACAGGAGTGGTCAGTCACATTCTCAATCAGAAGAGGACCACGTGGCTTGGATGGTTTGTCTGTAAAATAGACACAGGTACACTGATCCGAGGCTGTCCCTTCATCAACTGTTGCTCACTTTATAGACATCTTGTATACTGGATATTACAGAGATAAATAAAATTGTATAGAACCCTTACTGAAATTTTAAAATTCTCCTCAAAATGAAGTTAAAAGATAAATTTACCATAAGGACTCTTGGGTGTCACTGCTTTGTCCAACTCAGTGGGCTCACTGACACCGATCTTGTTCTCTGCTGACACACGGAAGTAGTACTCAGTGCCTTCAATCAGGCTGACAGCTTCCAATGTGAGTTTGTCTGCCTTCACTCTGTCCAGTTTGGTCCATGAGGAGCGAGATGCCTCTCGTCTCTCAACAATGTAGCCGGTCAGAGGAGATCCACCATCATCCTTGGGTGGCTTCCATTCAAGAGTCACAGATGTCCTGTCGATCTTGGATGTCTTGAACTCCTGAGGTTTGGATGGTTTGCCTGAAGCCAAAGGAAAATGTGTTATTTCATATACATGCTTTAGATTCATATTCATTTTGATGAAGATTACCAATTCGTTAATATACTGACTTAGGGACCATTCATAATTTATGGCTAGGGGGTTGATGATCATTTTAAGGGGGAGTCAACCATTTGTTCTGGGGAGGTAGGGGGGTCAACAATTTTGTACACATGTTTCTAGGGGGGTCAGCAATTTTGTACATAAAAATATTTAAAAATTATGCTTAAAAAATATTGGAATGGAGAGGGGGGGTTATTGATCTTGTACATGACATGCAGGGGGGGTCACTTACTTTGTACATCAATTTATTTTATTTATTTTATTTATTTTTTTGGGTGTGTGTGTTTCCATTCACATTGTACATGCTTCTCCATAAAAATCATCATCACCCCCCTGGCCATAAATTATGAATGGTTCCTTATATCAAGCAATTTAATTCATTAAATCATGAAAGATGTACTGGTGAACAATGTCACACAAGAGAGCTCTACGTACCAGCAGGTTTCTTGGGAGTGATGACTGAGTCAGTCTCAGCAATTTCACTATAGCCAACTTCATTCTTGGCAGTGACAGCAAAGAAGTAACCAACATTCTCCTTCAGTTTCTCTATCTTGTAGGCTGTGTCATATGATTTGATCTCGGCAACCTTCACCCACTCTTCAGATGTCTCCTCACATTTCTCAATCTTGTAGTGAGTGACCTTGGCACCACCATCTTCCTTTGGTGGTTTCCATTCAATGGCAACATAGTCCTGTCCAACATGGCCGGGTTGCAGGTTCTGAGGTGGACCTGGAGGTTCTGGAGAAGAAAAGAACAATGGTCATTTGTGATGACAACAGATCAGTAATGTTAGGGATGTGGAATGTCCAAATTGGATATTGTCACACAGCTCTCATTGGTTTGCTGTTTAGAATGTAAAAACCAGCAATTTCTAATCATCATTCTTCAACTTAATTCAACAGAAAAGAATTATTGACCATTATTGTGATTTGTATAAGCAGAGGCAGAGGCAAATCAATCTTTAAATGTGCACTTCTATGTATTCTTTCAAAAATTTATGTCATCAAAATGTTTTGATAAACCTGTACATATTGACAAATAGTTTCCTTCCATGGTTTAACATAAGCAAAAACACTAGAGAAACTACTTTCTTCCATTAGGATAAGAACTTAAGACAATGAAATCTGATTACTGATCAACTTACTGAGAGCCTTCTTGGGCTTAGCTGAGTCTTTGCCTTCAAGAGGTTCACTCTCTCCTTCGTCATTAACAGCAATGATGCGGAATAGGTATTCAGTTCCTTCAATGAGATTGTCGGGTGTGAACTTGAGTGTCTGTCCATCGACTTTACCGGCCTTGGACCAGGTGGATCTTGTGGCTGGTCTCATCTCAATGATGTAGTTCTTGAGTGGCAGACCGCCATCACTCTCTGGTGCCTTCCATTCCAGATCACAGGAGTGGTCAGTCACGTTCTCAATCAGAAGAGGACCACGTGGCTTGGATGGTTTGTCTGCAAAACAAATGTATTTAAACTTATCAGATGCTGTCCTCTATCAAAGGTTGCTAAATTGCATATCTTACAACAGACTTCATCAAATATATGACACGATATCCAACTGACCATTTTATTCAATTGCTCTTAGAATGTTGATATTCTTGCTCCCTAGGGCTCTGTTCCATGAAGAGATCCTACCACAAACATGATCTCAACTGCCCTACTTTAGCACAGACTATCACAGTTGTAGTGCTATGATCTCTTTGAGGAACAGGGCCTAAATGTCTATGTGATGATTCCTTGGAATAAGTCAAGAAATTTTGCAAAGACACGCATGCTTCGAACATAATGACTTTGGAGCTAACGATCCCTTTAGCACTACTACTTTTAAGGAACTTATGCAAAAACAGGTTACTCAAAATGCTAAGTATAGAGGGTTTCCAGAAAGCTGACATCAGGATAGGAACAGAGGAAATCATTGACACAGGCACAGTGCAATATGTTTCTTTACTTTTATGGACCTTCTAGTGTTTTAAAAACTATGTTCATAAAGATATTAGCTGACATCTTGAGCATATGAGACCAGATGCTCTGTACCATGGTGTTCAAATCACTCTCTACTCACTGTAAGGACTCTTGGCCTTGGTAGCAGCATCTGCCTCAAGGGGTTCACTTTGACCGGCCTTGTTTTCTGCGATCACACGGAAGAAGTATTCATTGTTCTCAAGAAGGCCATCCACAACATATTCCAGTGTGTCAGCCTTGACCTTGCCTGCCTTAGACCATGTCGATTTCTTGGCATCCCGTTTCTCAATGATGTATCCTGTGAGTGGGGAGCCGCCATCGTCCTTTGGTGCTTTCCATTTGAGTGTAGCAGAGTCACGCTGGACATTGCTGATGTCAAGTGGTCCGACTGGCTTGGATGGGGGAGCTGTGGGCAAGATATAGACCATAGAATAATTCTTGAATAAACATTGAATTGCATAGCAATATCTACATTTGACTCCCTTCAATGAGGCTTGACAAGTTTTGATGAAGAGTGATAAATTTTCATGAAACTTGACAAATTGTTATGACGCTTGACAACTTTTACAGATAAATGACAATCTTGCTTCATAACTTTCAGTGATGCCAGACAACTTTTACTGATGCTTGACCATTCATAGTGATGCTGACCCAATGCATGAATAACACCATGAACAGTGACCTTGTCTACATTGACTATTTCATGTCAAGTAATATATAAGCTTTGTTTCTTCTAAAGATGGACACAGATGATCAAACAATGATTACTAGATTAGAACATGAAGGAACCTAAAGACTCTTAAAGGTATTGTCAAAGATGCTTACATCTTGATAATAAAAAAAACTATGTAGTTCCACATTCAGAAACAGATAAAATGTTAATAAAAGTACAGTGAGTGTATGGATAACCCATTCTGTTAAAGCAAATGGTTCAGGGAGGCCTTTTTAATATTCTTCTGACACACATTATTCTTCATTCAAACAATAATCTACTTACAGATCTTCTTGGTTGGAGTGACATTGTCTGAATCCAAAGGTTCTCCGACGCCAACAGAGTTGACAGCCGAGACTCGGAATTTGTACTTCTTGCCATCCTTGAGCTTCTTGGCTGTGTACTGGGTGGTGGGAGCATCCACTGAGTCTAGCGGCCTCCACTTGCCATCCTCGTACACCTCGATGTTGTACTTGACGATCTTTGCTCCGCCATCTCTCTTGGGTTTGGACCACTCGAGAGTGACAGTGTCCTCACCAATATTGCTGAACTCAATTGGTCCAACAGGTTTGCCAGGAACCTCTGTAAGTTTATCATGAGATATTTATGAGTTAACTGTTCTACTGATCATCCAAAATAAACACTGAAAGTTTAAAACTGTTTCCTTTGCATTTGACATAATTAGTTTTGTGATGATATTCTTCTAACAGTGAAATTTGTTTATAAGGAATTCCATATCACACAGACAAATGTTATTGATAACAACTTCTTTATTTGTTTGTCACCTGAAGAAGGGGCAAGAACTAGCCCAGAAATGTCATGAGAAACAAACAAAGAAGTTGTTATCCATAACATTTGTCTTGTATCACTACACCAACTTCTAAATGCCTTTGAAGAATTTGAATTACATATTTATGTAAAAACAGAATAGACAAAACCCCACCTGGTGCTTTCTTGGGCACAATTTCATGTTCAGACTGGATTGGTTCACTTGGGCCCTCAGCATTGACGGCAATCACACGGAACAGGTATGGTGTGTCTTCCAACAACTTCTTGACATTGTAGTTAAGTGTGTCAGATTTCACAGAGGCAACCTTTGACCAGGATGTCTTACGGACATCTCGCTTCTCGATAATGTATTCTGTGAGTGGTGAGCCTCCATCTGACTTCGGGGGCTTCCAGGTCAAGGTCACACTGTCCTCTGTGATGTCTGAATGCTCAAGGTCCTCTGGGGCTGATGGTTTTCCTAAAGAGGAACAGACTTATCAGAAAGCATTAAAATAATAATGAAATTTGCTGATGGTTTTATCTTCAAATGACCTTCACCTCAAACATGTCCTTCACATACACCTGTGGGGAATCCATCCAACGTCAACAAATCTTTAACCATTAAGCCAATGTTTGAAACAGATTTCTATCAGCAACATTTGTGTTTAGCACCAAATACTGGTCCCAATAAGGCTTCAAATTTACTCAGATATTTTGAAACTTTTCCCAAGTCAATTCAACTTACAGTTATTGAAAACTGAAAATATCATACACAGTAACTGTTCATAAATATTATAATGAAATTTGTTACATTCATGTTTAGTATTTTACATGAAAAAGAGTAGCAGTACTCACCAAATTCTGTCTGCAAGATGTACTACAGCATGCAGCATCAATCAAAACAAACACGACTTGCACGAGGCGGCACGAATAAAATCATGTTATTAGTATTCAACTGCACAATCATGCTGCAGGAGCAAATCACAATCGTCAAGCTGATTGGTTAGATTTTCCTCCAATCAAAAACCTTATCTCACAGACCTAAGGCAAAACCTATTTACCATTCATCATAAATGGAAGATAATTTGATGAAATGTTTGTTTTTTGATTTAATCTAAGTGAGGAAAAAATATCTGCAGAATTATATTATCATAATCTGTAAAGCAAAATGTTTGATCTCCAAGCTGATTAAGAGTTCAGTCCCCTGAAGCTGTAAAGCAAGTTATGTTTATATGATATCCCACAAAGCAAAGTTAGGGAGGATGGTTTTTTTGTAATTTTTCCGATAATGATAGCACTACGATTCTCATACTCTCAGTCACCAGCTGTATGTTCAGGAAGGAGAGAAGAGAACAGGACTATTGTCGGAGACATAGACACAGTGTTAACACAAAGAACACATAACATGTGTTAGATGACATGGAATACAGGCTGTTAACAGTACAGAGGAGTTAATAACAGATTCATATCAACATTGTGATAACAGTTTATTGCCTAGTATAGTATAAAGTTACATGAGTATATATGTTATATAGAGATATATCACACGAAGCCCCAGAGTCTTCTCTACATATATAATATCAGTTTATGTACAAAAACAACCAGCATATAGAAATTCAAACTCAACAAACAAGACATTTTTGGAATATTTTTATATATTTGAACATAATCACAATATCTTGCTTAAATGTTTAAGATGTAATATCTTTCTCAAAATGTTTAAAATGTTATAAAATGTATCCCCATTTAGTGATATGTGACACATTGGCTGTCAATAACATTTTGCACATAATCATCCCACTTTGGCAAAAAGATGCATTGTTCTAGCTAAGACTGACATAAATAAGAGATTCTATCTGTTAAAATACAGTTTGTTTGTAAAACTGCTTACAGCCTAAATGTAAACAGACGATTTTGTTCATATTGCACGTAATTAAGTAAATAATTCAAATTTGATTAACAATTGTGACTTGAATTAAATTCAGAAAATGCATTTTGTAATTATAGGTCAATATTGCTTTTAAATTCCCAAATGCATCATCATATTTTAATAACAGTTATCAATATTGCTTTTAAATTCCCAAATGCATCATCATATTAATAACAGTTATTGAATATTTCCTCAATTCAGATGTATTGAATATTTTTTCAACTGATGGATGACGTACTGTCAAAGTACCAGAGGCAATATATAGTGAGATAGGTTTCAAACCGCTTTTAATATTATTTCAGTTATATCATAGCATGTCATGAAACTCATTTGCATAGGTATGGTGCTAACAAACCGAGAAACTTATCAGAAAAACTTAGGTTTCTGGCACACCTAAGGGAGGCAACTCTGCTTAGACACCCCGACCTCCTCAGCAGATATCAACTGATGCATAGACGTTACTAATGAAAATGTATTATGCAAACCATATGTACACACTTATAAGATCTTCTTCACTACTGGTAACAAAATAAACTGATAATAGTTTATAAAAATAGAGGTAAGTAGTATAATACAACGTATCTAATTACTTATTTGTTACACAACTAATTAACAACAATTTTTAATTACAGTATAACCATAATTATATAAGTGTGTATGTAAATGAAGATTATAATATCCTACTAAATTGTTCACATCTTGTTTCTAATCAATATTTAGTACATAAATATAATTTATTTATATTACTAGATAATTTACGATAAACAATCAGATTAAGTGAATTAATAATGAAATATTTCAGATGACATGAAATCAAAACGGTCACAGGTTAGTAGGATATTTTGTCATGCTGAAAAAAAGTCTCAACAATCATCAAAATACTTCAAACAAAACATATAAACTTAACATGCAATATAAGTAAAACAAATGGACTGAAATCTACAACCTGATGTGAAATACTTCTAATGAAAATAACTATTAGATATTTGGACAGTTTTACCCAAGCTGACTGAGGGACAATTTAAGACTTCATCACTGAACTGTTAGGGACATTCCCTGCAATATTGATATCTATTAAATACTAACATAAACAAAATCAGATCGTAGACTTCATAACAATCTAGAAACAAATCTCAATAGTTGATATAAAATTATAAAAAAATACACAAATGTCAGTAAAAATGCAATTATATTTTGCATCCTAGAAATGTATGACATGAAAATGCTGAACCAGTGGTCGTTTGGTAAATATGACTATTTTGATGCATCAGCTTTCTTGTATATACATAAAGCAAACACATGAATGCAGTATAGATAGAGCATGAATAAAAGGAAAAGGCAAAGGCAAAATCTGTTTGGAAAATTGGAATGCTTTTGAGTTTACAGAATATATAAAAACTGTAATTTTGAGGGTACTATTTGGCTTGAATAATCATCATTTCCAGAGAGTAGAATGTACAATGATAATGAAAAGCTTCTCTGTGATCATGAAAAGAGCTGATATCTTGATTATGTGGAAACCATACCAATCCACTACTTTCTGAGATCAGTTTCTTCTAATGCTATTTTCCTGATAGTCTTACATCATTAATATGATTCAGCAGGGTCAGACCATTTTTCTAAGGATATTGTGCTGGTCAACTATAAGTACTTTGGCACCACAAAACTCAGTGAGGTAAAAGGAAGTATTATTACTGGCAAAATGCTTCAGGAAAAATCTCCATACTTGGCTGAAGAAAACAGTTATTCTTTAATACTAAGTATTATTCCGAATTTAGCAAGTTGACAAGCACATATGAACGTCCACATAGCCAGACATCACATATTTATATATGGTCTCAGAAAACAGAGATTCAATCCACTTGGGTCCCATGCAGGAAAACAGTCAGATTCTAGCACACTACCACACTCAACGCCGTTTGGGCAAGAAGCGCAAAGAACTGTTGGCTAGCTGTAACCTACCGAATGGACTCTTTGGAACAACACCAGAATCGGATTCTCTGGGTTCAGATTTTCCGACTTCATTTTCAGCTGTCACTTGGAAGAAATATTCGGTGCCTTCAACAAGTCCGCTGACCTTCAGCTGTGTGACATTACCCTCGACCTTGCCTGCACGGGTGTACGTTGACCTCTTGGCATCACGACGCTCCACGATGTATGAGATGATGTCAGTGCCACCATCGTCTTTGGGTGGAGTCCAGTTCAGAGTCACACCATCACGGACAATGTCAGCGTACTCAATAGGACCGGGTTTGGAAGGAACATCTGAATTATGTAAAGCAGTGAAAACGTAGTGACATATGTAAAATGCCTAAAACTATACCATCAGCTTTTTTATTGTTCGTTTCACAAATCATTCAAAACTGACAACTTATATGAAAACACAAAACAGAGAGGTAAACTTTTGATGTGAATTCTTACTTTCAGCTACCAGTCATATTAAAATAATACACCTATTTTTTATACCTACTCTAATCGATTTTCATGCAAAAATGTTCATTAACATTTTAATAACACAGAAACTACACCAAAAGAATATTAAATTCTTAAACTCTGACCTAATATTTTTTGTGAGTGTTGAGTGGTAAGCACAGACTGATACAAAAATTTGATCCTGATTCAACTGTGTTGATGAAACAGAAAGCTATGATGAACTTACCAATGACCTCGACATCAAACTTGGCCTTGTCTTCGCCAGCTTCGTTCTCCGCAGTCAATGTGTACAGACCATCCTCCTCCTTGCTCACCTTCTTGATTGTCAGCGAGGTGCTGGTGTCATGTGTATCTATGGTAACCTTACCAGCTGATCTCATTGGCTGATCATCCTTTGCCCAGGTGATTCTGGGAGTGGGGATTCCCTTGACCTTGACAGGGATCTTGAGGTTACTGCCAGCATGGAGGGTGATGAGGTCGCGGAACTTGTTGTCGAACTCCAGCACAGGGGGAGCTGTTGGGATTAAATACATCTCAGAGTAATGCAGTAAATCAATGAATTTTAACATCCCTTTTGGAGAACACTTTAGATACATTCAGTCTACTCAGTGTGGTATGTTTGGAACACCCAAAGCGGTGTAGGTCACAGATGTTTACAGAAACTTTTTGTGAAATCAATGTACAGAGATAATGTTGCTGACAGACTTAGGATCTTAATCCATATCTGAGATATGAATCCATGACAAGTATATTCCAGCAGCTTATGGGAACGACACTTCACAATGAGCTCCTTTACTTTAGACCACCAGACCCACGCCCAATGGAAGCAAGCCAATATTGTCTTACAAAGGACAATCAATATAAAGTGAACATCATTTGGTCAGCTATAATGGATTAATATGCATTGTGGGTTAACCATGATATATAAGTATATGAGTTGATAATGACATCAAAATAGTGAGCTGACCACCATGTGATGTTGATGCAATTCTCCAAAGGTCTGAATGATTAATTTTTTTTTCATTCAAACTCTGTGTATGTCTTTCTAGATGTCTTCCTACCTTGGATATCAAGCTGTCCTGATGTTGTTACTGTGCCAAGGTCGTTGCTAGCTTCACACGTGTAGCTGCCAGCATCCCGTTCTGTGCATTCTGTGATTGTCAGAGATGCGAACATGTCCTCATAGAAGATTTCATGTCTCTTGTCCTCCGTGACATCCCGGCGGTCCTTCATCCTGCAATACAGAGCGCCCATCCTTTTCATGCTTCCGTTTCAAATTTATGAAATCATCCTTTCAAAATCATAAATAATCATCCTTTTATTTCCAATATATATTAACATTATGTACTGGTATTTGATTTGAGGACTGTCAAGAGTGATCTCCCTTACCACTTGATAGAGGGCTCTGGTTCACCACTGATCTTGCATTCCAAGATGGCCGTCTCTCCCTCCATTACAGCCAGGTCTGGTAGGCCTTCTAGTACAGCTGGAGCCTCACCAACTGAGGAAAAGAGCGGGAATTTAGAGTATAGTCCAGGAATGACTGAATGAACTAACAAAACAGTAAGGCATCCTCTTGACACATTGAAGCACTTTACCAGTATGGTAAATACAAAAGTGTTATCAGTAATACATATGAAGATGGAAAATCACTTACTCTGTACTTTTGTGGCAAAAGACCATTTTGAAAGCCAATAGCTGAATCATATGTTATGTTCACCAATGAGATAGGACATAGTGTTGGTAACACACATGAAGATGGGAAATAACTTTTTCCATAATTTGTGTAAAAAGACCATTTTGAAAGCATATAGCTGAATCATATTTTATGCTCACCAATAGGATCTTTGGCGACAACAGGCTGTGATGGGGATGAAGGTGGACCAAGACCAGCCTTGTTCTCGGCCATGATGCGGAACTCATACTCTGCACCTTCCATCAGTTCTGGGACTTTGTAACTGGTCTCTGGGATCTTGATGTTCTGACTGGCTTGTACCCAGCGGACATTTCCACTGACTCTCATCTCGACAGCGTAGTTGAAGATTGGGCTACCGCCATCCTTCTCTGGAGCCAGCCATTTCAGAGTGACTGAATCCTTGGTGACATCCACCACTTCAGGCTTGCGAGGAGCATCGGGTTTGTCTGTGGAGGCAAGTCAGAGTATGAAGACATGGGCAATTAATTATGAAATCAGATAATTCACAGCAATATTCCAGCTATATGGCAGTGGTCTGTAAGTAATTGAGTCTGGAGCAGACAATCCAGGGATCAACAGTATGAGCATCGATCTACGCAATTGAGATACGATGACACGTGTCTACCCAGTCAGCGAGCCTGACCACCCGATCCCGTTAGTTGCCTCTTACGACAAGCATGGGTTACTGAAGATCAATTCTAACCCGGATCTTCACGGGTGCATAGATAGTAATTAACCATCACAGCGGGGCACACCAGAAATGGGGTTCATACATTGTACCCATGTTGGGAATCAAACCTGGGCCTTCAGTGTGACGAATTAACGCTTTAACCACTTGGCTACCCCACTGCCCATCTCATGTCTAAAGACTGCACAATAAAAAAGCATTTTGGAGATTGGAATGAAATTTACTAAATTAGTAAACAGGATACAGCATATTTTTTATGCAACAGTTTTTATTTGAGAATTGGGGAAAAAAATACAATTTGAAAAGCTTACTGAATGGATCTTTCACAAGGATTGGTCCAAGAGCATCACATGGTTTGCCAATTCCAGCAGCATTTTCGCAGACACCCGGAATTCATACTTGTCATTTTCCACCAAATCATTGACGGTAAAGACAGTATCCCGGACTGGAGATTTGTTGGTTCGGACCCACCGAGAACTGGTTGGGCTCTTCTTCTCAATGATGTAACTTGTAATTGGTGATCCTCCATCGCTCTCTGGTGGCTCCCATGTGAGCGTGACCGATGACCTTGTCACCTCACTAGCCTTCAGTTTCCTGGGAGTCTGTGGCACATCTGAAATGTAGATGGCAAAATGGTAGACAGCAAAATGGGCAATCACTTCTCTCTAAAATCATTCACCCCATCACCACTTGTTTCCCTGAATATCACTTAGAAGGTTATGGAAGATAATTATTTGTCTATTAAAGAACAAATCTATTTGAAAGCAGACTGGCATTTTCCATCAACATTTTGGTGGTATCATAACAATTTCTTGACTTTCTCTTACCATATGGACATTTGGCAATAGTTCCCTCATCCATCTCAGCTGGTTCACTGACGCCAACTTCATTTTCAGCAGATACACGGAAGAAGTATTCATTGCCTTCCAGCAGTTTAATGACAGCATAGGTGTTGGTGCTGCCATCTACGGTGTGGACTGGCATCCACGTGTTGCGTTTGGCATCACGCTTCTCGATGAAATATCCCGACAGATCGCAGCCACCAGTGTCGGAGGGAGTCTCCCATGACAGGACTATGGAGTCCTTCATTATGTCGATCACATGGAGGTTGTTGGGCATGGATGGTTTGTCCGCGGAAATAGAATGAATAATCTCCATCAGATCTTTTCATTATTTAATATTTGACAGCTGACAAACAAACTTATATTTGCGAGAACGTTTCTTATTTTGTTTGTTGTTTGACAGCATCTTCAGCAATTTCTTTAGATACATACAAGAGGCCTGTCGATAATTGATTCTGGACCATCCAATCCAAGTGACTACCCAAAACAAGCATAAGTTGTTGGGGATGACATCCAACCTGACATTCCCATATGGGACAGTGGGATAAATTATTTATGCCACATTCAGTGAGCTTCCATCTATACAATCCATGGAAGTCAGATCCAGGCAACTAATGTTCGGTACTGCTAACCTATTCTGTTTTAGAATTCCTACTGGGGCTTGAAACTGAAAATAATCCATATATCCCTCACACTACCAAAGGACAACATTTCAATTTCATGCACAGAAAACACAGGAGTTTCCACTGATCCTCACCTTTGACATTGATCTCGAAGTCTGCCTCTGCTTTGCCAACGACGTTCTCAGCAGCAATGGTGTACATGCCAGTGTCGTCAAGCATGGCGTTCTTGATGGTCAGAGTGCTGAAGTCATCTGTAGTGTCCACGCTGATGCGTTCTGACTTCTCCAAAGGTTCATCATCGAGGAACCATGAGATTTTGGGAGATGGGATACCGCTGACATTGACCTGTAGGACCAGGGTGGATCCACCCTTGACAGTCTGAGCACTCTTCAGGCGGTTGTCATACTCTAGAGCAGGAGCAGCTGGAAAAATAATCAGGAAATGTTAACACTTTTCTTAGAAACTGAATTCTGATTATGTTAATGCAAGTTTCAGTTCAACATTACATTGGCAGTGTTTCAGATTTGAAATAGTCTCTATGAACCAATATCTTGAATAACTGACTGACTGACTGAGTTTGGTTTTACTCCGCTTTTAGCAATATTCCAGCAACGTCACGGCGGGGGACACCAGAAATGTTATCTTGAATAACGATAATAGGAACGGAGCAATGTGTCTACCGAAATTGGGTAGTAAATTGATTCAGGGTAGAGAGGAACTGTTTGATTGATATTTTAGAAGTTAGTTACCAACAAGAAAGGTAAGATATTTTATGGATAGCAACTTCTTTATTATTTTACATCATTCATAAAGAATCTTCCCTTTCTTTGTACAGATGAAGATAGGTCCCTTTCATTATATACATACTGTGAATCGCAAGTTGTCCCTCGGTGCTGACTTGACCAAGAGGGTTGGTCACCTCACACTTGTAGCGAGCAGTGTCTGATGGTTCGGTTTTGTGAATGACGAGGGATGCAACTTCATCCTCGTAGCTCATCTCGTACTTGGAGCTCTTCTTGACCTCCTTGGTTCCCTTGAACCACTTGATTTCACCTTCGGGCTCGCCGACATCAACATCACATTCCAAGATGGCATCCTTCGGTGCAACTGCAACTTCATCTTGCAAGGGTTCTATGATAACTGGTGGTACACCAACTGTAAACAAATGTGGAAAAATGTAAACAAAATTGTAAGATGTTTAATAATGTCAATCATGTTCACATACAACATATTGATTAAATCTTTGTTTACGTTAATTTTAATCAACAGATTTGCCCGATTTACAGCCAGACATTGTTCTTTTATTGTTTGTGGATTTCCATTAACTCTTTAGCTTGATTACCTCAAGATAACCTTGTGTACATGCATGTTGTTTTGGAAATATATACGATTGCAAGAGCAGGATACAGACAGTATTTACAATATGTACAGTAAAAGATTATAGACTGTCCTTCTATAGTGTCTTTCTATACAATGCCTGTTTGCACTAGAATGGACAATATGAATTTGACTTGTCATTTTTAAGCATTCCATTTTTTATTTGAAATATAAATAATAGTGGATAAGCGAACCAATATAATCATGAAATGTTTATAATTTTTGCAGTTTTGGTTATGAATAATCAGACAGAATTATCCTGTTGAAGAGAGACACGTACCAATAGGTTCCACCACCTTGACTGGTGCTGTAGGTTGTGATGGTGGTCCAACACCAGCTTTGTTCTCTGCACTCACACGGAACTCATATTCCGAAGTTCTCCTTGAGGCCGGTCACACTGAAGGTAGTGTCAGGGACAATGCCGTCACTCTTCCTCTGCCAGTTGTACGAGTCTTTCGGGCGGTACTCCACCACATAATTGGTGATGGGGCTGCCACCATCTTCCTCTGGAGGAGCCCATTTCAAGGCTACAGACTTCTTGTCGGTTCCAGTGACTTCAGGCTTGCCAGGAGGTCCGGGGGGTCCTGTGGGAGATACCACAGAGTTGATGACTGGTGCAAGTTGTCACACAAAGAACATTAAATGCTTGAACAGGATGCATCATCTGCACCCATTTACAATGGATTTTTAAGGCATTACAAAACACACACACACACACACACACAGAGACATCCACTAATAGAGATTTATGCTGCTTCTAGCAATATTCCAGCAATATCATTTGGGAGGGGGTAGAGGGAGAGAAGAGTGAATGAAAGACACCATAAATGGGCTTCACACATTGTACCCATATGGGGAATCAAACCTCAGGCTGTTCCAATGAAGCCAGACAAGATGGCTAATTTTGTCAAATGATATTTTCAGATTAGTCAACTGACATGACTAAGTTTATATGTTCACAGGAAGCAGGTCACATGGTAAAATAGTGGGGCCAGATAACAAGGGAGGTTACTATGTCAGATATATAGTCAAAGGTAATAGAGACATGAAGAGTTACATAACTCAGCAAAGAACATATTTCTTACATTTTCAGACAATCACAATACTTTTCACTAACTGTAAGATAAAACAATACCCACCCCATGGATCCTTGGCTGTGAATTCAGTTGATGGTTCACTGGGTTCGCTGGGACCGGCCTTGTTGACGGCGATGACGCGGTACTGGTAGGTGTTGTCTTCCAGCAGGTCCACGTCCTTGAAGGTAAGTTCAGCTACAGGCTCCTTGGTGACCTGGATGTAGCGAGGACTGTATCCTGACTTGCGCTCCAGCAGGTAGCCTGTGACTGGGGATCCACCATCATTGGCTGGCGGCTTCCAGGAAATCACAGCAGAGTCCTTGAAGATGTCCGACACTTCAGGTGCATCAGGCTTATCTGGTACATCTAGGTGAAGAAACACAATAACAGTTCAAGTCAGACAAACAGTAGAATAATATTACTTGACAACTTTATTCCAAAATCATAACCTATGATCTTCACATCAGTTCAGAAAACTGTGAGATCCAATAATCAATGCGAATAATCCTACTTATTTATAGGCTGATCTTTTTTAACCTGTGTCACTGCCAGTTGGTTCAACTGTTCTTTTCACATAAGCTTAGCTCTGTTTTTGTGACAGAGATAATAAATACATAAGGTATTGACATTCTTCCACGACAACATACATGTTTCAGAACTTCAACTTACTGAAAGGATGCTTGGCAGTGATGTTGTCCGACTCGACTGGCTCACTTTTTCCAATCTCATTCTGAGCAAACACCCTGAAGACATACTGGTTGCCCTCAACCAGGTCTGGAACAGTGAACTGCAGATCGGTGGTACTGCCCACTTCGTAGAATGACCTGCGGCCAGACTCTCGCTTCTCGATGATGTAACCCGTGATTGGTTTGCCTCCATCGTCAGCAGGCACCTCCCATTTGACGGTGGCGCTCTCAGCAGTAATGTCACACACAGTCAAGTCTCTCACTTGGCTGGGTTTGTCTGGAAAATGGAAACAAATGGTCAACTAAAGAGCTTACAACACTATGAGTAAGTAATTCATAGATATCATTCTACTTACTGTGAGAGGGAAGCCAAAAGTGAGTCAGGCTAAGATTTTTACCATTTTGATGAAATATATAGGTGTCAACTGATTCAAAGAATGAACAGAAGAATGAGTGAGTTGAGTTTAACACACAATGTACCAGTATTCTAGCAATACTCCAGTTGGGGTGGGGAGACACTGGAAATAGTTTTCACATGTAATACCCATGAGGGATTCAAACCCAGTATGAGCCAGTGCTTTAACCACACAGCTACCCCGCTGCCCTACGTAATTACATGTAACACTGCTTGGCTCACCTAAGACAATCAGCTTAATGGTGATGGTAGCCTTGCCGTTAGGATTCTCCAGTGAAAGGGTATAGTCTCCAGTGTCTGTGCGGATGACTTTGGCCAGACGAATGGTAGTCATGTTGTCGATCGTCTCCGCTTCGATCCTCTTCTTGTCTGGAAGAGATCCTCCATTGTACAGCCAAGTACACTTGGGCTGAGGGTTGCCAGAGAAGGGCACCTCCCAGGCGGTGGACTGGCCGGTGTGAAGGATGATAGTCTCATCAAACCTCTTGTCGTACAGGATCTTAGGTGGAGCTGCAGAACAAATAGGTTGGTTTAGATTTGTTGCAGAATAAGACAGATTGTATGAAAAAGTAGATAAGAATCAGGATATCACTGGTTGTCAAACTTCAGACTTAATTAGGGGTTAAAAGTGTTCAACAAACCAGACTGAAGGTGTGAATGGTCTATATGTGTTCATGTACAATGCATCCTTCCTGAAGGTGTAAATATACAAAGTTAACTGACATGATGTGTCTGTGCCACAGACAACTCTATCAAAGTTAGGTGAAGCGTACATTTCACTCAACCAAAGTGAACATTGTAAAACTCATTTACACATTTGTTTAGAAAAAAAGTACTGATAAAGTGTCTCATCGAATGACACGAAGGTAAGTAATGGTCATGAGTGCAAAAGAACCATGACAGTGTGTATTTACTCACCTTCCACAAACAGACCAGCATCACTCCTCTTGGACTTGGCGTGGATGCTGTATTCAGCCTCATCCTTCTCTGTGACATCAGAGATGATGAGACGATGCACGCAGCCATCATGGATGATCTCATACTTGTCGCTGGGAAGGAGGACCTCGGTCTCCCTGTTCCACTGCACCATCACATGGGGCTTAGACAGCTCGCACTCGAACACAGCTGTACTGGGGATCTCACTGATGTCAATGTCTTCAAGTGGTCGGATGATGTCCACATCTTCTTCTGTAATCAGAGACAGTAATTTACAGTCAATTTCTCATATTGCTACGATGTTCATGTAGTCATTGCTAGTTAGTTTGATTGTATTCCAGTCATATTTTATCCCCTTTTCCTCACAGTGATCTGAGCTACAAGAATATCATAGGTCCCATGCTTTACCAAAGACTTTTGATCGTTTTAGCACTACATGGCCACTTTGTGGAACCAGGCCTGATCCTGTACTCAGCTACAGGAACCTTTATGACTGTATACAGGTCTGTCCTATACAATAAAATGAGTGAGTGAGAGGGTAGGCGATTTGTGTCCTGTTCACAAAATTTCAGATATCACAGATTGTGTCACTTAAAATGGAGAAAATAGTTCAAAATATCTCTGACGCTATCACATTGTTGCAATTCGTGAGGACAGGTATAGTTCTGACAAACCTAAGATCATAGTCTGAGATTTACACCAGCAACTGACAGATCCTGGCCATGGGACACAACTCTGCACTGAGAGTTACGGCCCTTAGATGAGTATGCCTTTTAAGCCCTTTTAGGAATGTGTACAAGTTAATACCTAAAGGATGTTTAAAGTGTATACATTATGACACAATGACCAACAATGTTAATTTTAATAAATCATTTTGTCATATTTCAGTAAAGAACCAGCAGATGATAGTCTGAATCTTTAAAGATTGTACAGTGATTCGACCATGAAGTTTAGAAATCCTGCCTGTCTTATCAAAAAGGTAGATATCAACACCTACCCTCCACAAGTGCTTGAGCCTTGGACTTCTTGTCAGCAATCTTGATGGAGTACTCAGCTTCATCCTTGAGTTCTGCATTGGTGATGGTCAGCATGTACTTCCCTGCACCGTCCACACCCATCTTGACACGGTCAGATGGCAACATCTTCACGCCCTCCTTGTACCAGGTGGCAGGTTTGCCGGGTTTTGACACGACACACTCCATGTGGATGGTTTCAGTCTCCATGACATGGACATCGGTCAGTGGCTGCAGGAACTCAAATGGCTCCTCTGTAATGGGAGACAGAGTGGTCAGTGCATACAGAAATTCAGGTGCCCCCTCGAAAAGAACATACTTTCTATTATGAGAATTGTTTTGTGAAACCTGAAAGAGTGAGTGAGTGAGTATGGTTTTTCACCGCTTTTAGCAATATTCCAGCAATATCACGGTGGGGAACACCAGAAATGGGCTTCACAAATTGTACCCATGTGGGGAATAAAACCTATGTCTTCGGTGTGACAAGTGAACACTTTAACCAGTAGGCTACCCCACCGCCCCAAAGCACAAAACAAGAAGGGATATGATACCAGTATTTCATCTGGGCAAAAAAACAACTTCATCAGTTGTCTGTTTGTTTGTTATGGAGCAGATAAAGCAGAGAGTGATATAGTGAGCAGCATTCAATGTTATAAGATTTGAATGACAAACAATTCATGAAGTCAACATGCCTGACTGCCTGATCCATTATTCAACTTGTACCAAAAAGCATAGGATGCTAGAACCTGCAAGAATATTGAGTATAACCACATCACCTTCTCCTAATCTGATACCATCCCTCCAATGAGACCCACCTTTGACTGTGACTCTGGCAGACGTCTTCCTGTCCTTGATGACACACTTATACACAGCCTCATCATCGACTTCTGACTTGGGAATGGTCAGTGTGTGGCGGGTATCATCCACAGTCATCTCAATACGCTCAGAGGGAGTAATTTCCTCTCCATTCCTCATCCATTTGGATGGAATATTGGGTTTGTTCACCTCACAGGTCAAGGTCAAGGATGTGCCCTCCATGATCTCAAGGTCTTTAAGTGGTTTGGTAATTTCAATTGGAAGTTCTGCAAGTTAGAGTCAAATACAATCACACATTCATAATGAAAAGAAAGCACCTTAATCCCATAGCTCTGCAAGATCAATTTAAAAATCAATACCATGAATTAGTATCATACAAGTTGGCCTAAAGTTAGTCAATTAGTCTACAACATTACATTGTTAAGAGTAATCAAATCTTAAATAAGGTGTTAATTCATTTATATAAACATGCATAGTTATTATATAAAGCTGTGTGCCATCATGATCTGACACACCAAAATAAATAAATAAACAAACAGAGTGACTTGTGATTTGAAAATATATCAAAGAGACAATCCTCAAAGAAGTTTCCCAAGTCCAAGAACAAATCTGAAAATGAGAGGTTTGGGTATCCCATACCCATGACTTTGAGGTTGGCTGAGCTCTCCTTGTCCTCTACTTGAATGGTATATTTTCCACCATCATCCAGTTCAACATCGCTGAGGACCAATGTGTGAGTGACATCTATAGATGTAATCTCATAACCATCAGCAGCAGTCACAACTTTGCCATCTTTAAGCCATTTGGCCTTCACTCCAGATTTGGACACTTGACACTTAAATTTGGCAGTTTCTTTCTCCAAGATCTCCTGGTCTTTCAAATGTCGGATTATTTCTACAGGCTCTTCTACAAAGGTGACATACAAGGTGTTAGTGACGTAAGAGCATTTCTCATAATGTGACATACTGAAGTGAGTACATGCATTAACAAAATTAGTATGAGGTAATAACTAAGAACTAATTTTAATATTATCAATATGCTATTGTTATTTACTGACAACATTTATTAGTATTAGCATTAGTTTCTGAAAAGAAATATCTGTTTTGAAAAATAATAGACTGAAATGATTCATGTTTCCAATCCAATGTAACAATTTGTGTGTTTCTGCAAAAATAAAAAAAACATCTTGAGAAATCTATGATGCTCTCACCATCAACAAAGACATTGCAGGAGCTGTCTTTGCCCTGGAATGAGACTTTGTATAGACCCTCATCATCTAAAGAAGCCTTTGAAATGATGAGTCTGTGAATGGCGCCATCAGAACTGAGTTTTATTCTTCCTGTTGCTGACACATTGGTTCCTTCAAATGACCATTCTGGTTTCTTGTTTGGTTTGTTGATCTTCACCTCCAGGAAGATCTCCTGTTTCTCTGTGACGGTGATGTCAGCCAGTGGTTGGACAAACTCCACAGGTACAGCTGGGGGATGAGGGAAGGGTTAGTAGGGTTGAATAGAAGACGTTTCATTTGTGTTTTTGTTTAACACCAACTTCAGCAGCATTCAAGCTATTTGGTGGCAGCCTGTGAGTCAAGGTTCTAAGGTTCCATTGGAACTAACCAAGAAGAAATTATGCTTCAATTATGAAACTTTTTCACAATTATGAAACTTTTCCACAAGAAATTAATGACTTTTCAAAACAAAATCATGAAACTTCGGATTAAGTCCAAAATATGTTATATGAAGATTAGTATGTTAATGATATTAGCACCTTTGACAGTGAGTGTGGCTTCGCTCTGTTTGTCCTCCACTTTGATGCTGTATTTTCCACCATCCTCTTCAGCAACATTATCAAGGGTCAAGGTGTGAACCGAGTTGATGGTTTCTATGCGATACCCATCCTTCTCTGTCACAACCTTACCATCCTTGTACCAGCGGGACTTGACATTTGGCTTGGACACTTCACATGTGAATTTGACTGTCTGGTCTTCATCAATGGTCTGATCCTCCAGGGGTTTCACAATCTCAAGTGGTTCCTCTACAAAGGGTAGGTTATCAGTGGTCAAATTTGGAAATGGGTCTAGTTTAAGAATATCCTAAATTTGATGTTTTTACATAACAAAAGTTACATGTAAAGGAAATTAAGAAAAAGGACACTTTCATAATTTGACAAAAAGGACATTGTTGCACTCTGCTGTGCTCACCATCAACAAAGACATTGGCTGAGCTTTCAACATCACCAAAGGCGACCTTGTAGGAGCCTTCATCTTCAAGGTCAGCGCTCTCAATCACCAAACGGTGAAGGGCACCATCAGATGTCAGGCGGATGCGTTTACTGGTGGACACATCCTTGTTCTCAAAGGTCCAGACTGGAGTCTGTCCTGGTTTGTTGATCTTCACCTCCAGGAAGATCTCCTGTTTCTCTGTGACGGTGATGTCAGCCAGAGGTTGGACAAACTTGATGGGGAGGACTAGAGAAAGGGAGATGTTATGAATGGAGATTAGAGGAGGAGGAAATATACTACCTTGTTAGTGACAGTTCTGAATGAAATTGTAGATATTTTACAAAATATAAACCCAAAAGGATGGATAATAATTTCGAAGATATTTTTGGTTCAAAACTCAATTTGAACCTTAACGAGACAAGTATTTTTTTCAATATTTACATTTACATTAGAAATCATGAAAGGTGATTACAATATATCCACAGACAGTTATGAGTACAGTTATTAGTAGTGTTAAATACTCCTGAGGAAATCTATATCTTGTATGAAAGGTTAAAGGATATTGAGGAAGGATAGATTTCCATTATGTATTGCAAAAGACTTTCTTTCTTGTGAGCACCTTTGACAGTGAGTGTGGCTTCGCTCTGTTTGTCCTCCACTTTGATGCTGTATTTTCCACCATCCTCTTCAGCAACATTATCTAGGATCAAGGTGTGAACCGAGTTGATGGTTTCTATGTGATACCCATCCTTCTCTGTCACAACCTTACCATCCTTGTACCAGCAGGACTTGACATTTGGCTTGGACACTTCACATGTGAATTTGACTGTCTGGTCTTCATCAATGGTCTGATCCTCCAGGGTTTCACAATCTCAAGTGGTTCCTCTACAAAGGGCAGGTTATCAGTGGTCAAATTTCACTGAAAATGTCCACACAGGACAGGGGCTAATGTGTTTCATATTTAAATTTCTAGATGGTTTTCCCAATCTACAACATTACAAATGCTTGTTAAACATTCAGACTCAAACATATGACATGTTCCATGTTTGACAACATGAAAGATAGTGCTAGGTAAAATGAACACCATGTTCTTCATATTTACCAAGTGGTATGAAGCAGTACCAAAAGAACATTTGGAAACATGGATTTGTCAGATAAGAGCAACTTACAGTTTTCCAACTTTTTTTAAATGAGCATTTGTTGAGCTTTCACCATCAACAAAGACATTGGCTGAGCTTTCAATATCACCAAAGGCGACCTTGTAGGAGCCTTCATCTTCAAGGTCAGCCTCAATCACCAAACGGTGAAGGGCACCATCGGATGTCAGACGGATTCGTTTACTGGTGGACACATCCTTGTTCTCAAAGGTCCAGACTGGAGTCTGTCCTGGTTTGTTGATCTTCACCTCCAGGAAGATCTCCTGTTTCTCTGTGACGGTGATGTCAGCCAGAGGTTGGACAAACTTGATGGGGAGGACTAAAGAAAGGGAGATGTTACTTAATGGAGATTAGAGGAGGAGGAAATATACTACCTTGTTAGTCATAGTTCTGAATGAAATTGTAGATATTTTACAAAATATAAACCCAAAAGGATGGATAATAATTTTAAAAGATATTTTTGGTTCAAGACTCAATTTGAACCTTGGCAAGAGACAAGTATTTTTCAATATTTACATTTACATTAGAAATCATGAAAGGATGATTACAATATATCCACAGACAGTTATGAGTACAGTTATTAGTAGTGTTAAATATTCCTGAGGAAATCTATATCTTGTATGAAAGGTTAAAGGATATTGAGGAAGGATAGATTTCCATTATGTATTGCAAAAGACTTTCTTTCTTGTGAGCACCTTTGACAGTGAGTGTGGCTTCGCTCTGTTTGTCCTCCACTTTGATGCTGTATTTTCCACCATCCTCTTCAGCAACATTATCAAGGATCAAGGTGTGAACCGAGTTGATGGTTTCTATGCGATACCCATCCTTCTCTGTCACAACCTTACCATCCTTGTACCAGCAGGACTTGACATTTGGCTTGGACACTTCACATGTGAATTTGACTGTCTGGTCTTCATCAATGGTCTGATCCTCCAGGGGTTTCACAATCTCAAGTGGTTCCTCTACAAAGGGTAGGTTATCAGTGGTCAAATTTGGAAATGGGTCCAGTTTAAGAATATCCTAAATTTGATGTTTTTACATAACAAAAGTTACATGTAAAGGAAATTAAGGAAAAGGACACTTTCATAATTTGACAAAAAGAACATTGTTGCACTCTGCTGTGCTCACCATCAACAAAGACATTGGCTGAGCTTTCAACATCACCAAAGGCGACCTTGTAGGAGCCTTCATCTTCAAGGTCAGCGCTCTCAATCACCAAACGGTGAAGGGCACCATCAGATGTCAGGCGGATGCGTTTACTGGTGGACACATCCTTGTTCTCAAAGGTCCAGACTGGAGTCTGTCCTGGTTTGTTGATCTTCACCTCCAGGAAGATCTCCTGTTTCTCTGTGACGGTGATGTCAGCCAGAGGTTGGACAAACTTGATGGGGAGGACTAGAGAAAGGGAGATGTTACGAATGGAGATTAGAGGAGGAGGAAATATACTACCTTGTTAGTCATAGTTCTGAATGAAATTGTAGATATTTTACAAAATATAAACCCAAAAGGATGGATAATAATTTCAAAGATATTTTGGTTCAAGACTCAATTTGAACCTTAAAGAGACAAGTATTTTTTTCAATATTTACATTTACATTAGAAATCATGAAAGATGATTACAATATATCCACAGACAGTTATGAGTACAGTTATTAGTAGTGTTAAATATTCCTGAGGAAATCTATATCTTGTATGAAAGGTTAAAGGATATTGAGGAAGGATAGATTTCCATTATGTATTGCAAAAGACTTTCTTTCTTGTGAGCACCTTTGACAGTGAGTGTGGCTTCGCTCTGTTTGTCCTCCACTTTGATGCTGTATTTTCCACCATCCTCTTCAGCAACATTATCAAGGATCAAGGTGTGAACCGAGTTGATGGTTTCTATGCG